AAACCCACTATGCCTTACACAAAGCGCAAGGCAGAGCCTGTATCTTTGAGCATTTATGAATGGAAAATGGGACAGATTCATCCCTTTTGTCTCCACTATCCTGATGGCCTCTGCCAGCTGCCGTTCTTACCTCCATGGAGCCACAGGCTTATGAAGAGATACTCATTCCAGTTGTACCTGAGTTATTTAGTAAAGGTCCTACCAGCTCAGGAAACTAGCACTTCTCTTTCCTTTGCTCTTCTTTTTCCCGCACCTCACTCCACAAGGATGGGTGACTTATTTTTTTTTTTCTCCTTTATTCTGAAACATTAACCTTTCCAAAATGCTCTGTGTATAGTCTTCCTCTAATTCACATCCTCACTTCACACACAGTTCCTCTCCAATCTTTAAATCCCAAGTCAAATCTACTCACATGCTCATTCTTCTACAGAGCTTTTATTCATCTTTAATGCTTTTTCTCAAACTTATTATTCTTTAAATGTGTTTGTAGGCTTTTCACCATTACCATATAAGTTTTCATACTTACATAAAACCAGAAAATGTGAAGCAGATAACCAACATTATTTTTAAATAGCTTTGGAGAGCACATAGGAAGGGGAGGGCAGGTTTTGGTTTTGAACCAAGTTTTTACAGATTTATTGACTGTAGCTCATTCAGTAGTGAAATTTTTTAACAGTCATGTCTTTGCTATTGTTATTTAATTTTTCCAGCCTGTCCATTTTTGCTATATTCAATATAGGATTGCTTAAGCTGTAGTTCTAGGATAATCTGTTTCATCCCATTTCTCAAGTCCATTGTTGCCTGCACACTCTTGAACTTTGCAATGCTTCCATGCCAAACCCATATATGCTGACAACAATTTTAAAAAGACATGAATATTAATGAAAAGGAGGATGTGCGCACACAAAAAAGTCATTTAGTGCCAGGATCATCTGGAGCTTATCTAAGAACTACAGCAGGATTTTTTTTTGTGGTCCAGCTGATCAGGCAGATGCTAGCTACTTCAAGAACCGTTCTTTCCTGCTTCCATGGAGAGGATTAATGTTAAGCCATACAGTTAGTTGTCAGCACTATTAATCACCGAAATTCCTCAAGCTAAAGAAAAAAGAAGCCAGCTCAGCAAGAAGTGTCTGTCGGGGATGCTGTTTTGTCTTTCCAGCAGAGGGAGAAGCCCACAGGAGACTCCAACCAGGTAAGCAGGAAACTGAAATGAAAAACCAGACCCAAAAATGACATATGGGAGTGAAAGCAAGACAATGCAGGTTTCTGGTGCTGCTTGGTCAGACAGCATCTGTCCCAAAGGAAACTGGACAGTTTCCAGCTACTCGCTGCTCTCCTATTTGTTCTCAAAGTGATGGGGAACACCAGCTTATTCCAAGGGAAGGCTGGTGGACATCCCTGGCATGGGGTCACCCTTCCTCACCATGTCTCACACCAGTGCACCTCATGCGGTCTCTCCATGGAGCAAATCCATTCTCCAGCCTTCAAACGACGCTGGGCTTTGCTTGTGTGAGGCAATGGATGAAGCCTCAAGGCATGGGGGAATGAGAGACACCATGGCCTCACACCATCTGTGGCCTGGGCTTTCTCCTCCTCCTACGAGCAGCAGAGGAGAGCAGATGTCCCCATAGGTGATGTCAACATGTCTGGCAGTGCTGCACCTCCTGAATACTGGATTGCTGGCCTGGGAGTCTCAGGGTCTGAGACACCTTAAGGTGCACCCATAAGAGCATGAGTTTATTACTGCAATGGTGGCCTTACCAGCTATTGTGTTACAGACACTGACACCAGCACTGTGAGGTTCCAAACAGCCTGGATGTTGTTTTCCAGAGCAGCTGAAACAAGATTGCTGGGGTGGTCTTTTACATCCAGGCATGTGGATCTACCATCAGTGGCTCTGGATCCCACAAGACCACTGCTCTGGACCAGGATGCCATACCCCCGTGGTGATACAGCAGCTGCCAGGACCCGCTCCTCCTGTCCCATGCACCCTGCTTGCTGAGCAGCCTCCACCACTCCTCCGTCTCCCCCACGTCTGTGAGCAGAACCACACACCTTGTGAGGACAGGGGCAATTATAATTAAATGCCAGCCAGTGACCGTAATTATATAATAATTACTCTCCAGCTAGAGACTGTAAATCACAGATCACATCAGCAAGCTCACATGCCCCCACTGGATTGCAGTCCTGGATGTCAAAAGGACCTTTTCAGATGAGGAGTGCTGAAGATCAAGCTCCAAAATGCTGATATCTGTCAAGCCTGGCTGCCCCAGTGTACTGAAATCCCTACAGCAACCCTGTTCAGAAAGAAAAAGTAACTGTAATTGTTTTTTTTTATATACTGCATAGGATTGTATAACATGCCCACGGGGAGACATTAAACACCTTTATTTGGACAGACTGACCCATGTTCAAGAGCTGGAGAAACATGGTGCTGCGCTGGCCTCTAGCAGGCCTCCAGACAAGATGACTCTATAGAGGGATGCCCTAATACAATGTGTTCCTCTTTGAGCAGGCTACACCAGTGTATTTTTGCTTTTAGACTAGTCTTAGTGATTCTATAGGTCCATTTTTATTAAATGTCACCCTCTTAAGGCTGTTAAGGCTTCACTGTATTTATGCCGCATGAACATATTTTAAAGTGGACGCAAATGTCGGGCCTCATGGAAAAACTGATGGTAGAGAATAGAAATTTTGAAGTCTTTGTGGCATCAGATGAACATGGTATTCATGAAAAGTATTTTGCAGTGGGAAACATTCTGGAGCCTGGGTTAAACTCTTACTGGTTTGCAATTACTGATGTGAAATTACATCCTTCCAAGAGAACTAGTTCTAAAACGTCCATTTAATGTGAATGAACACTCAGAATATCCTGGAAATATATATGTAATTCATGAAATGACTAATGGTATTTAGCACATTTCATTAGCTATCTAGGTCTGAGTAGCATTAAGCATAACACAATACCACCTAAATGTAGAGAGTGTCAGATGAATAAGCCAGGCAGCCTGTACATGCAACAAACCGTGGAGGAAAAATACCCCTTATTTAAGAGTTGAGCAGATCTGCAGTCTCTCAAGCACAGTGGCTGTAACATACCTCTGCACTCCAAAATAACTGATGTCTCAAATTGAAGCTTGAATGTGACAAAGTAATTTCTTTCCCTCTCAATGTCTGGTGAAAAAGACAGAGCTCCATGGGTGAAATGAAACGTGGCAATTCCTCTGGTTGCATTGCTCCTTAAACTGGTCACAGGCTAATGCTTTGGGGTTTTCAGTAAGGCTGTCTGGAATTTCCATCCTCTGGAAATATTCCAGGGTTTGGAGAAAAAGATTTGTTCCACTTCTGAATAAAAAGTAAAGAAACTAGACACCTTTTGAAGAAAATGTGGGGAAAAAAACCAACTTTGGAACAACCCACATATTTTACAGCTGGCTAGTCGTCTTTTGGCCTCAAAAAAACCAAATTCTCTGGTGAAACTGAAATTGTCTAACAGCAAATCATTCTAGCAGACAATTACCCACTCCTTTCCCTGTTAGTTCTTGAAGCTTTTTTTCCTTGAGTCAAAATATAAAATAAAAATTATTGCACAACCAAACTGAGTGAAACTCTTGAGCCATGAGTACACAGGCATTGAGTAAAAGTCACCTGAATCAATAGAGTGCAACAGATGAAGTTTTTACATTGTTCTTTCAAATTAATCATTAATTTATTTTTTAAAGTAATCATCATAAATCTTCCTAGAACAGATTGTTATTCTGCCTGTTATGATTCATTAAACCAGTGCAGAATGAGATCATTATCATTTAAGTTAGCATTTTTTGAGGCTGACAAATATCCTCTCAGTATTTCCTGCAGCTGGGACCACAAGCATCTTCCTTGGAGCTGGCAGCCTGCTTGCACCATATCCTGCTATAAGAGCTTCTCGTGCCTCTGGCCAGCCACTCCATCGTGGCTGCTGGGACCCCAAGCTGCTTGGGGTGGGTCTCTTCACTTGACCCCCTTGGGCAGCAGCAAAATTGGAGGCTGACTTCAAGCTGCAAAGTTGCTTGTGGCGTCAGCACCTGGTGAGCAGCACAGCCACCTCCCCGAGGGGCTGGGACTGGAAAACACTTCCCAGGAGGTGGGCTCTCAGCCACCCCAGCCTCCAGCGCAGTTAGCTGGTTACTGGGGGGCAGCGGTCACTGATGCCTTTGGATAAATTGGGACTTTTCTCCTCCTCTTGAAAATTCCCACACTGTAAAGCCAAAGGATGCAGCAGGTGGAGTGGGAATTTGTGGGAAGCAGGTTACCCAAACCAGGCTTTTCCCCTTTTAATTTCTTTTTTTGGTGTAATTCCTGATTGAAACAACACTGACCTAAGGGGGACGATGCAGCAACAGGGCAGATGGGAGCAGGTAAGAGCAACAGAGCCAACAACGTGTTTGCACAGAAGAAATTAAAAAGAGCTGATGGTAAAGGGAATTCACAAATTGCCAGACAAAAAAAGCACACAGCCATCCCCTGCCACTCTGAGACTCCTCTGACATGTGAAGGATGACAAAAGGGAAAAAAAAAATTCAAATAAAAAACAAACCACCACCCCAAATTGCAGCAATTACTTGATCAGGGCATTTTAACTTCCTAAACTGGGACAGAGAAATTCCCCTGGGTCATCTGACCTCTGTCGAAACTGCACCAGGAAGAGAAGCAGCAAGCAGTCGATGAGTGCAGGGCGTTCTCCAGCTGTACAAAAGCCTCTCGTGTGTGAACTGGCAATGAGAGCAGCAGAGGGATGTGCGTGCATGCGTATAAGTAGCAAGGCGAGGTACAAATACCCTCCTAGTCAGATCATCTCTTGCACAACTTTCTGATTCTGTGCAGCCCAAGCGGACCTTTTGTTTCTTTCCTCCACTGCTCCTCTCCAAGCATGACTCCAGAGCAGAGCTTCTGAAGATCCATTTCCTCCCAGGCATCTCCCTGAAGACAGCTCTCCCCCAGAAGAGGCAGTAACCAGCAGCATGGTGGGGGTGACAGCAATGAGGGCATGGATTGAGCCCGTGGTTGCAAGTTCCCAAGTGGCCAGCGCCTTCTATGACACAGCGCTGCTGCTAGTGGTGAAGAACTACTACAACCAGACCAACGCCACTGCTCCATCCCATGCGCTGGAAGATGCTCAGCAGAAGGCTGTCTCTAATTTTTATATCATCTACAACCTAGTCCTAGGCCTGAGCCCACTGGTGTCAGCCTACAGTTTGTCCAAGCTGGGGGACAGGCTGCATCGGAAGATCCCTATCTGCTTCCCTCTTCTTGGCTACTTGGGCTCCAAAACTCTCCTGCTTCTCTTGATCCTGCTGGGCTGGCCTATCGAGGTGATGTACGGGGCTGCTGCCCTCAATGGCCTGACAGGCGGTTTCACCACGCTCTGGGCAGGCATCATGGCTCTGGGATCCCTGGGGTCCTCCGAAAGCAGGAGGTCTCTGCGGCTCATTGTTATCGAGCTGGTGTATGGCCTAGCTGGCTTTCTGGGAAGCGTGGCATCTGGCTACCTCTTTGTTGGCTTCAGTGACTGCTATCAAGAGGGTAGTGTGCTGGTGGGCTGCAGCATCGCTTGCTATGCTTTCTGCCTCCTCTACAGCATTTTTGTCCTGACAGTCCCCAAGTCAGCAGCTTCCTGCCCCACCAAAGCCAACAGTGTAAAGGAGGTGGGCAGCCAGCTACCAGTCCACACAGGAGCAGCAGCAGCAGGGAGTTCCCAACCTTCAGAGAGAAGCAGCTCCACTCCAGTGTCCCCCTCAAAGCTTACCATCATCACACTGTTTGTGGCAGCAATCCTCTATGACCTCGCTGTGGTTGGTGCAATGAACGTACTCCCACTCTTCTTGCTCAGGGAGCCTTTAAGTTGGAATGCTGTGGAGATCGGCTACGGCAATGCTGCTGGGTATGTAATCTTCATCACCAGCTTCCTAGGGGTATTTGTATTCTCCAAACACCTGAGGGACATTACCATGATCATGATTGGAGTGGCATCCTTCAGTGCTGGCATCCTTATCATGGCTTTTGTGCAGTGGACGTTCCTGTTCTACATTGGTGAGTCAAATGGCTGCTCGCACAAGCAAGTGCACCCTGAGAAAGGGGTTGGGATACTTTGGACTTTTGTTCTGCTTCACCATGAGTTTCAGAGCGGGGAGGTGGCAGACCATCACATGAGCAGTTCCCAAGAGGGCTTCTTTATCATTCTCCTCTCCCTTTGTACTCTTACACTTAGCACACTACAATATCCAGAAGAGGCATACACTCCTGCTAAGGCATAGTTTAAGGCCGGTTGTCTTGAAATTTGTCACACAGTCATAGGCCAGATCTGAGCAGGGGAACAACACTCACACTGTGGTGGCATGGAAATACTTGCGGGCTACCTGTACTAGTCAGACATCACCACTCCATTAACAGGAAACACTTGTTTCTTAAGAGGTAAGGCTTAAGCCTACAACAGAAATAAATTCACCTTTAGGTTTCCTATTAAGCGAACATCTTAAGATGTGATTTTTTTTTTGTTACATTAAGGCATTTATAGCCAATGGGAAACTCGATAGTGAAACATTTGAGCTGCTTTAGTAACTAAGATAAGATACTGTAGTGTACAAATCTTATACGATGAAGGAAAGGAAAGTTTATTGTTGGGAGGTAGCCTCTGCAGGAACACAAAAAACAACACTCAAGAACTGCAACCACAGTGGCAGTGAGATGGATGATTCATATCTGACAGTATAGTGTGTTGCATGGCTTTGAGGTTTTGCTTCTAAAAGCAAAAAGATCTAAGTGAAATGGCCTGAAGCGATTTTTCTTTTTGCCCCTTCAGAGAACACAAAACTGAAAATCAAACGAAGTTATTCTAAAGGGAAAGACAGTAGGATATGATATTTGTCTATTAAGTCAAACACTGGAAAAAAATTTTGAGAGACTTTGTTTGTTTAGGCAATCAGGCTGGGGGACAAAAGATAAAAATTAAAATTAAAAAATGCTTGTTTATTATTAGCTCCATCATGTTGCTACACAGTGTGCAGGATGTTTATTCCCTGCATTGCAGAAACACCTCAGTACACTAGACATGGACCAAATCTTCACTGAGGTTGGTTCTGCTGACAGGGAGGTAAATTCCAGCTCCCTAAAAGTTTCCACACTGGAGAAAGCAAAAGCACCAAGACAGAAAAAACCTGTAGTGTTATAAAAGCACTGTTCCTGTCAAGGCCGTATAGCATGGGCTTCTTTCTCTGCTGGTTAGATTCAAATCACTGGCCTCACTATCTCAAAGGACAGTGCTGTATTTCATCTACACTGGTAATTTTGGGCTGAGACCAAGAGACCATAGCTGGTTTGGGCAAAGTACCTCTCCTAGTGGGAACAATAGGTGGTTTATCCACCACCACTTGGATGAAGTGAGGACCTACACACCTACCAAAGATTTGTACTTCTTTGTGGTACTCAAGGACAAGAAAAGGTAAAGCAAAGTCCCTGCCAAAGCCAGAGGCACACAGTCTTCAAAAGCAGCGATGGTTGTGTTGGGGGACAAGAAGCAGGTACTGATGATAACTACATATTCCTTGCATTGCAGCACGGGCAGTAATGCTCTTTGCCCTCATCCCCTTACCAACCATCAGGTCCATGTTATCCAAGCATGTCGAAGGATCATCCTATGGTAAGTACCTTGGTTACCTTACTGATCAAATAAGTCCTCAAATCCCTCCATCCAGCCTGTGGTACAAAGAGAAAGGTAAGTTACTGCTGCAATCCGTGCTTTACATAATAAAACCAGAACAGCTGATACGACAAATGGGAAGGGAGGAGCAGAGAAACTTGCAAGACAAGATTGTCACATCCATGCTTATTCTCCTCGGTTACATCATCCACAAAATTTTCAGCATGTGCTTCAGAAGATTACTATCAGTCTGCAGCTCAAAGGCAGGGAAAATATCTGAGGTGCTGCTCAAAACCACAGTACTCCAGGGAAAACCAAAAGAAGCAAGACATTGGCTTCTTTCACTTCCATTTTTGGGAAGGATGGATTGCCTTCACCTTTTTTCAGTTATGCTCTCTAAACATGTCTCCAAGTGCCACCTAGCAATTTGTTCCTGTCAGACCAAGTAACCTCTGCATAAAAATTGGCCCTTTTTGGTAAACAGAAGCAGAAATTCTCTTCTATTAAAAAATGTATTAGAAAACAGTAAAACATATGCATTTTACCACACCATACTGAAGGCTATTTTCACCCTGATGAGCTAGATTTAGACACAAACGTCAGGACTAGCCATGTGTTCAAACAGCACCTCAGGTTCATGACTACTTGTGCCTCCTCTAAACACATTCCCACAGCCATCCTTTGCATCCTTTTCCCTTCTGCCACATGAACACCACACTGGTACGTCATCAGGTCATTCCTGCTGCTTGCTACAGAGCACCTTGAGGAGCACAATCTCACCTACCTCCCATAAATAGCATGGCTCACACCCCAAATTAATCATTATTATTAAGTTGTTTTTAACCTCCACCATGAGCCATACAGGCTGCACCTGATTAGATGGCAGACCAGCTCTCAAACAGAACCAGATGCAGCAGAGCAGCCATTGCCTCCTGGTAGCTGTGTTGTCTCCTCAGGTGGTGGCCACTGGAGAAGGCGGTCAGGGCAGCAAGCTCGGCACATAGCCCTGACCTTGCTCCTACTCTGCACATCCCAGCAGGGCTGTGTTACTTCCCCTTGCCCCACTTACCACAACAGAAACTGAAGGGTGCACTTCAACAAAAAAACTGTTTCACTTAGGATTCAGTTTCTGCTTTTCCTCTGCCCTAAACGTCATACAAATCACACGCACCTCCCCCTTTCAGGCATTATTCATTTTAGCCCCGTGGTCCACTCTTCTGTCATAGGGCAGAAGCAGACCCTGACTAAAATCTCTTGTGTCCCAAAGATATTAGCCCAAGACTACTTTCCTACCTTGTAGGGAAAGCAGTTTATTGCTGCCCTTCCAAGCAGCTACCTCCACATCTAGAATATTCAAGCAGACAGTTTTCTAGTTGTATCTTTTGTCTTATGTCTAAACGAAGGAAAAGTCATTTAATTCTGGTCTAGAACAGAAGCAGATACAAGGTTATGCCATCTGGTGCTTATGAAGCAATGACCACATGGCTCTTCCACGCAATGGTGATCCTGTATTCATCAGGGAGATACCAGAGCTGTTTTTTCTCCCTGGTAACAAACTACGTTCTTGTTTTACAGGTAAGGTGTTTGTCCTGCTGCAGTTGTCTTTAGTCACCACAGGAGTAGTGACATCTACAATCTATAACAAGATCTATCAAAACACAATGAACTGGTACAGTGGCTTCTGTTTCATTTTGTCTTTTCTAGTCGGCTGCCTGAGTCTCCTCCCTTTAAGGTAAGGAACAGAAATGGTTTTGTCCAAAAGGACATGCTGTATTTTCTCCATGCTTCCTGATTCTAGGTGTAAAGTGCGTAATACAGATGGGAATTTTTTTTTTTTTAATCTAAAAAGAAAAAAAAATGGAAGAGAAACAAATCTTGCAGAAATGAGTTATCAAATAGCAAGGAGATTCAAAGAATGAAACTTGCAAGTGATCTAGCCAATGTTTTTAACCTTTTTGTTTATTGTAACACAAATTGTTGTAGGAGGAATATCTGGCATAGTTTAAGAGTTGACAATCGCAGGGGACAAAGCCTTCACATAAATCTAGTGCTTGATATTGTGAAAACAGTAGTAGGTAGATTGAGGGAATAATCCTACACAAAGTAAAACATTATTTAAAAAATCCATTACAAGTTACTTACTCATTGTGATAAATGAATAATCCGAGTCTCCTTCAGGTGTTTCTTTCAAAGATAAACCATTACCACATAGTGAAGGTAACAGTTACTTTTCTGATCCAGTAAATTTGCCTCACTGTACAGCTACAGCACAACTGAGAGGCACAATTTCAAGGACAAGTTTTATGCACAAAACCAGCTTAATTAAAAGAGAAAGCTGAAACAGCATCTCCATGTACTCTTCCAGAATTTTTGAAGTATCTCCCTCCAAATCTAAGCTTGCCCATCATCCTCTCCCCCAGACCCTTCACTTGTTGCATTACTAGAAACTGACTCTTCCAGTACTGAGTTAAATTGAACTGTGATAATGTCAGCATTTAATTCGTGCAACAAGTATATTTTGATTCAGATATGAAGCAGGTACTGGACAGGCTGACTCCAGGCAAAATTCTTGCCCAGTTTTGCTGTAATTTTTTGACAAAATAATAGTAGAAAGTTTAAAGGCACTACATATACTGACTTCAGTGTTATCACTCAGGAAGAAAAGAAAAAGCAACACCATAGAAAGTTCCTATACCATCAGCTGTGCCTCACCTAGAGCACCAAAGGCTTTCTGGGCTTGTCAATATATGTGACACCTGGTGTCAGCAGGACTACCAGTGTGTGGAAGGCTACTTCATGCTCATCCTTCCCCTGGCTCTGTTTTGATCATATTTTCCAGACATGAGTGACTTGTTTCTTATGCACAACCCTGCTGTTTAACAGCCAGTCACTGCTAGCTACTCAACTGCTTTTTAATACAGGCTCCAAAGAGAAGCTAGCACCATTATCAACACAAGCATTGGTTATTAGGGCTTAAAGTCTAAAAAATTTTAAGTGGCACCAATGTCATTGCTTGCACACAGGAATAACTCAGAGAGGCTGGCAGATCCTTGAGAGGAATCACATGAACACTCAGCCAGCTCCAGACACCCCAGCAAAGTTTAAGCTAAAGAACTAATGGGGGAAAACTAGTTTGAGAAAGTTGCTTGCAGCTCTCTTGTAACCTGCATTTTTATTACTCTTTACAGCATCGTGGCTATCAAACAACGTTCAACCACTGGGTCCCTACAGATTCTGAGTGAGTGACAGAGGCTGTACCAGCTAAAGCATCTTTTTCTCTTTATCAGCTCTGAGCTACCAATGTGGAAGGTTTGCCAAACATCAAGCCCCAGATAACTGCCTTACAGGAAGCAGCTCATTTGTGTTTTCAGCCTCTCAACCACTGAGCAGATCCAGGACTAAAAAGTTTGCCCTATTATTTCTGCAGTACATCATCTTGCAGAGTACAGGCATTGGCTACTGCATATCATCAGTCTTCAGAGCAGTCTTCCAGCAACCTGCTAGGCTGGTTAGCAATAGTGCAGAGGGACAAGAACAGGGTAGAAATGAAAACAGCCTATCTAGATACATCATTCAACATGAAAGGGGAAAGCAGAGGAAGAGGTAGAAAGAGTTCCTTCTTATCTTCTTACAGAAAACATGTCAGCCCAGCAGACCAATGTTATGTATAAGACCACTAAATACAGAAATACCACCATAAAAAAAGATGTGTAAGATAAGACACTTTCAGTAATCCCTACATTAAAACACTCCTGAGCAGATGTTCATGCCCCTGACTTCTGGGAGATTTCCCACTGTCCCTGGACAGTGCTTTAACAGAGCTCATGGGAGGACACCTATGACTCAAGAGCCAACACCTGCATTTCAACTCACTCCACTAGGATATACCACTCTTGTAACAGGTTAGGAACAGGTAAGTGCAGCACACTAGAACTACAGGCTTTAGGTAGATGTAGGGACACTGATGTCAGGTAATAGTTACCTTGTTACCCCAAATTTATGCTGGGTTGAAACCCCTACTAAAAGGAACCTCATATAATACAGCAACTAGCATGAGATGTTGTCAGATAAATCCAAGTATGATTCAAAAGTAGCATGCCCTAGAGGAATTTGGTCTTAAATTATGTGCCTACCTACATACTAACTGAATTGATAGGGATTAAGTGGCTTCCAAGATCCTGGATTAAGTATACGCAAGTTAAAAACTTTCAGGAACTGAAATAATCTGGAGGCAGATCAGGCAGCTTCAGTTTGAGCCAGGGATGCAGCAAGCAGAAGCTGATTACTCACTACACAACCACTTATTCTGCGGAAGTTGCTGCCACCCCTGTTCCCCACCCCCCCCCACAATCTTGCAATCTTTTATCAGCTCCAGGCTCCACTTTGAAGTAACACCAGATGTATGCCAGCAACACAGATGACTTAATAGTTAAATCAGCAGTGGAACTAGATTTTAAGGAAGGGTATTTCTGCAGTAAGATAGTGAGCTGCACAGCAAAATAAGTGCACACATTTAAATGGCGAAGGCTGCAAAAAATGACACTTTATACTCTAAATAAAGGAGTAATCTTTTAATACATTTATTGGTCCATTCCATTAAATTAATTGAGGTAAACAAACGGAGCATTTTAAAAAAATGTACACACTAATAGAGAATTACAAACAGTTTTACCTCAAAGTGTTTTTCTCCATCAATACTAGTTCCATAGTAAACAACGCACAAAGTATATTTATACAGAGATATATGAAAGGGTATAGAAACATGCCAGCACCAGAAGGCAAGACAACATTTCCTAGCCTGCAAGTCTGAACAAGAGCACAGTTGCCAGATTTGGTCAAGTGCAGGAAACAAAAGCCTCCTTCCCATTTTTACATGTTTACTAGCTAATTCCCACAGAATTAGCAGACAAGTCTTTTCACAGCTTTCATTTTGGTTTTTAATGGTATGAATGGTGACTCTAGTTCCGGTGAGTGGGTTTACAGAGGCTGAAAGCAGAAGAGTCTGGGCAGCACCATTTTGGTCCCCAGTACTGACACCAACAAGGAGGAAAATGAGATCCACCTTCACACACAGCCAGATTGCCTTCACCTGCATGGCCTAACTCTCCTAACCTTAAGGGGGGACAGAAGGATGCAGGCACAAGGCAAAAAGAGAACAAGGATGGTACTGATTTATATTTATATACTAAAGACAAAAGCCCTTTGGCTGTTTGCAATGGTAAGACTGTCCCTCTGCAATCTGTCTCCCTGTGCAGTGGGAATGTGGCACTGGCCCCAACCCTGCTGCTTGATCTGAAGGTATGGACACATATTCCAGCAGTAGAGTTAAGGAAATGGTTTAGCTTCAAAGCATAGAGTACCAAGGCCTTCAAAGTAGTCTGAGACAGCAACTAGCCTTTTAACGTTTTTGCATGCCACTTTTATATAAGGGTGATTTACTTACACTTTTTTGAAAGTGCAATATTTTCTGTACAAGTACTGTGCCTTAGCTATGCAACCTTCAAACTAGCCCACTTCATTACTTGAGTACTTGTACAACTCAGATACCCCAGCAAGACTCCAAAGTGCTAAGCATTGAATTAAGCATTGCCATTTTATTCCATAAAATTGGTTAAACAGCACTCCCAAAAAGTTTAAAATGCAACATTCACACTGCCAGAAGGCAAGTTTATTCTGTGATCCCCAATTTTACAAAAAAAAAAAATTATCTGCCAAGTAGTAGCAACTCCCCTACCTTAAAAAAAGACCCCATTTCCCTATTTATTGGTTGTAGTAAAAGTTAATACACCAATGGAAAGACTGTTCTACCTTCAGAATATACAGAAGGCTGAACATCTAATGAGCTAGTTTAGTCTATGCAATTTTGCTCAGTTGTTATCAGCACCAGGATTTTAAACAGTCTGCAAAATTAATCATAATCATAGTCAGTTAAATTGTGCAAATTTTAACAAAAGCATGGCTCCTGTTAAAACACTCAACAGTCCCTGGTGGTCAGGGAGGGAATTCTTTTACATGCGGGCATCTGCAGGAGTGACACCTGGAGCAATATGCATCACGAACAGGCTATGCAGAGCCACTGCTGCAAGGCTAACTTGCAGTACCTCCACAGGACCATCTCTGCCACTCATGCCTTGCAGATGTTTCTTCCCGCCATTTATCCCACTACTCTATTCTTAGCACGAGTGTCAGTGTGACAAAAATCCAAGTAGACTTCAGTGAAGAAACTAGTTTATTCTTTGATACAACTCAAATCAGAAGAGCTTGTGTGTTTAGGAACTACAACTATTACCTTCTCATTTTTCAATGGATACCTGAAAAAGCCATGATGTTTCAACATCTATGTTTATTGCAAGAGTCAGAACCTGGTAAGGATACATATGAACAATGCACAGTTCATTACCAAGTATGAAAACAAGATCTCAGTGCTTGCTTTATTGTGCTGGTGCCAGTTAAGAGAAGAAACAAACATCCCAGAAATTACACAGAAGTAACCAGAACAGCAGTGAACTATGCATCCTCTGAGAGGGAATTTGGTCTGGCTATGGATTATGAGGAAAACTGGGCTAGTTTAAGGACTGTTGAAGGACCCACATGTTACAGGCTCATAGAAAAGGTGCAACTACTTTTGACATTTTAGTGCACATACAGAAGGTGACCTTAAGTGACTGAACACTCAGGAAGTTACTCAAAGATGAAGCTCCTGCACTACTCCTGTTTCCTTTTACTGATACCTTTCACTTTTCACACTTAAGGTTTGGGCCATCCAAAGGAGACTCCTATCCTGTGAGGACTACAGGGTAACATGTCAGAGTTTCACTAACAGTTCAGATCTCAACCTCCCACTAACAGCAGATAAGTAACTACACTCTTTAGAAGTGTCACTATACATCTTACAGGAGTTTCTTGCTATTTTGTAGTTCTCCTGTTTGCCACTGCCACCACAAACCTCAGTCAGGATCCTCCCCACACCTTAGAGCCTCTCTCATAGTTACCTACTGATTTACAACAGCTCTTTTAACAGACTCCTCCACAGCCCATAGGAGCTGAGAGACCACTACAAACCCTTCTTAACATTGCAGCAACTGTTGCAAAGGACTCCTCTTGTAAATGTCATGTTTTACTTCCTTTGCAGGGGCTTAAGAGGTTTTGGTGTTCCAGATCATGAAAGAAATTCTGTCAGTGGCCACAGTCTAAGGCACATGTTCCAAACTCTCCTCCAAATCATCTTCCAGGTGCCACAGAGCCAGATAATCCAACCTGGAAGTGCAAAGCATGCCTGCCCTTCAACACCTTAGCCAGAACAGGATTTATCTGAAAACATCCTTTGGATAAGGACTAGTTTAAAAACCATGCCACAGAATCAGTAGCATCAGATTAAAGAAAATTTAATATGAACTTCAACAGCTCCAACACTTTTATGTTGATTTGAACTTCATGTGCTCTTCCCCACTGTCCATTATGCTTCTCACGAACAGGTATGGTATGAATTGCTAAATTCCTCAGAACCAAACATCCACTTCAGTTTGACGTAAAACTAAGAGGGAACAAGACCTTGCTGTTGTAAGGCATAAGATGAAACCTACTCATCTGTAGGAAAGAAAACACAGCATCCTTTCTATTCATCTTTTAATTTTTTGATAAGGTGAAGGGAAGACTGTCTAAATATTAGTTCAAAATACATTTTGCTTGACTCGCAGTGATGGTGCAGAGTCAACTACAAAATTCCATTTACCACACAAGAGCTAGCTCAAAAAAGCATGTTGATGTCTGTGTGGGAAATAGGAAGACTGTAACCCTGAAAGTCAGACTGTTAAATGCTATGCAAGCGCTTATTTTAAAAAGAGAAAGATTGAGGAGAACACTTGGTTACTGCTTTAAGATCCCCTTAAGCTCTTCCCTTGCATAACAAGAGTAGCCTGTCATTCTGGACCTAACAACAAGCAGAGTTCTTATTTACACCAAGTAAGTGTATATTGCCAAACTGTGATCTTAAACCAAAAAGCATAGTTTGTTTAGTACCACAGAGTTGTTAAAGAAGGCTGAGACAAAAAAGGAAGACCTCTTAAAATTAGTCTTAAACTTGATTTTTGCACTCAGAGAACATCATCTCATTAGCCTAACAGCTACCACATTGCTGCAATAACTCATCTTCACAGTTGCTATAAAGTCACCAAGCTGAGTAGAGGGGCCTCAGGTATACTTGGTGTTTATGAAGGGATAAACTCCAAACCAGACTGGTACCTGACAGGTCATCACATAACACAGAAGTTACACATACTCAATTACTGCTCAAATTCTTTGCAAGAACGTTGCCAGAGATCAAATAATCACTCAAACCTAGCAGTTAAGTGCACAGTTATTTATTCCCCCAAATCCCAATATTAACCCTGATATTAGCCTCAAACCCCCTCACTTAGGGTGGTTAAAAAGTATTTTTTATCTGCATGCTGTTAAACCAAGATTCTGGGACCCTGGGAATCACAGTAGCATTCAATAAGGCCATTAACACCAAGCAGGAATTTACTTGAGGTTGGACTACAAGACAAAGGACAAAAATAGGACTTGCAGAAGCAGTTACTTTTCTAAAGAACCAAGAAAAACTACTAAGTAAACAGATCTGCACCAAAAGTAGTCTTAAAAGACTTGCCATGTGGTTCAGTGGAGACAGGTATGAACACTATGTGTACCTAATAGGGTACCAATCTACCCCCACCAACCTGTTCAAGGCAAGTTTCAGACACACTGATGCTTGGTGTAAGCAAGTATGTGACATTTTTTGGCTTCTGGCTGCTGCAAAGAAACAAGGGGAGAGAAAGCAGAGTTCTACTTTTACTACAGCAGGGACCTTAAGTGACCAAGCCCAAAGTGGCTCTAGTTCAGGAAAAAAACCCTAACAACATTTAAAGCATGGACCAAGAGAATTCTACCATGCAACTTCCAGAGCTAGCTTTAGAAAAAACACACTAAAGACTCATACTTGCTTCCGCCATTCCCATAAGCCTTGAACAGCCACTGCTCAACTCACTCCCACAGCTAGGCTGATTCTGATCCCCAAGGCAGTCACAAGTACACTTCAGCCAACTGACATTATTTCATAATCACCAAGGTAAACAAAGATACTCAGTATGAACCAACAGCATGCCACACTCACAAAAACCACAGTTCATGCTTGCATCACAGGTGGTGTTGGTATGTTCTGTCCAGGAACAGCCCAACTCCCACACAGAAGAGTCTCCAGAAACCATTTTATCCAGAGAGAGCACATGGGTGTTAGCAATCATTTGCAGCCTTTCCCTGTCCATCCAAAAAAAAAAAAGAGCTAAGGATTGGTTAGGGAGTACTGTATCATAGGAATAATTTTTTTTTTTTTAACAAACAAAACAGAATGGTAATAAAGATGTCATTTGGCACCTTGAAGTAGAGTTTTATTTTCATCTTTTTAGTCTTCCACTCATTAGTTCCTTCCAGACTAGAGAGGTAAGTTTTATCAAGATCCCCGTGCACTTTCACTAAGAACCCCCAATCACTCCATAGGATAAAGAAGGAACCATTCAAGATAACTCAAAAAGATGAAACATACCCCAGTTTAAACACAGAAAGTGAGGAAAAAAATTCAAAGTTTTCAAAGCGTCTGTTCCAGCTTAAATGCAGCTGGCATTTCAGTTAAACTGATGAGTCCTTCATACAGTTCCAGTATGTCTAGTGGTACTGAGCATAGAAGTGCTAGACTGTCCATGAAGTTACTTCTTATTTGGTCTCTGGCTTGTCTTGCAATAGTGGTATAATTGACTCCCACGCCGTAAGGCACTGAAGAAAGAAATAAAGATTTAAAAAATGGATTGTACATCAGTTCTTAACTTTTCACCAACTCCTCCAATAGAATGCAAGTTCAAGAAAGGCTAGTCAGGTCTTTATAGATTATTACAGATGGGTGAAAAAACCCAGACTGTCAATCAACAAGAAAGTGTTCAGAAAAGAACAGCTGCAGTTTCCAAACAGAAAACAAATTAGAGTTTTCCAAAGTCAGGGCTGGCCCAGGCCATTAAAAATCATCAGAATACCCAAGATTTCCAAGTATCAAGCTAGATTCTTCTGAACTGAAGTACACCACAGCTTTCAGCTTGGAAGACAAACTGTTTCTAGTAGAAATTCACATCTTTGTGGTGTGACTGTGGGACAGGACTGTTTTGGACAGTGGTGGCTATTACAGACTACCTCCAGCAAACTTATTTGGAAAACCCATGCAGTTAGGGAAGGTAGTTCAGAGACACAGTGTACTCTGATACACCTCTGGGATTTGATTCCCCTACACAACAAACTGGTAGTCCTGGTATAGTAAAATAAAAGTGGAGTCTAACTTCTGGGTTATTAGAAAGTCACTCTAGGCTTTCGAGTAATTTCCTCAGACATGTATACTTACTCCAGTCCTGTGCCGTGTATCACTACCATCTTTCAACCATGTGCAGCTCAGAAGTCAAATTGGAGAAATATAGATCATGGAATACATACTATTAAACACTGGGAATGGGCAAACTCAGCACCAGCTCTTAGATCCACAAGTCACTGTTGTCAAGCATCTTCTTCCTATAATCTTGCTGATTGTACTGCAGGTGAATAGAGCATTTCTACTTGTGTATCCTGAGGTGATTAGACACTTTCCTACTAAAAAGCTTGCTTGCTGCAGCTAAGAGCAAAACTAAGATGTACATACAGATTTAACCATCAATTGCAGAGGCATTAATGGATGTTCAGCAGAGTCATTAACACTCCCTTCCATAGCAATTTCAGAAGAAAGACGACACCAGGGTGAAGCAAGTTCTGTGTGACTAGTTACAAATTACTGACAAGACAGACATTGGAAGGGGCAAAGGAAGTGTGTATTAATATTATATGGAGAGTAACCCAGCAGGGGACAAGTTTGTAAGGTAGATGTGGAAAAAAGCGACAGGCAAGATTAAGCATGTCACCATGTATAAGACTAGTAGTGTTTAACGTAGCAACCACTGCACTGGGCAGCATTGTTCTAGCATGAAGTAAAACAAGATTGGCAGCATATGCAGCATATGCAATTAAATGTCAAGGCCATTTCACTTATAACCTGACAGTGAATGTCAGGTACACATGCACCAACTGAAAAAGGGCAGAGGCACCTGACTAGGTATTTCCAGGACTACCACACACAAGGGACAGAACTCTGCACAAGAGGACAGAGATTAGAATAATTTATGCATACCAGGTGTAATCTATATATGGATCCATGGATGTACATTAGCCCATGTAGTTTGGTTCATAAAAGGCAGAATGAAGATGTTTTCTAGTCTAGCAGTCCTTGCATAAGACTGCTAGTCTCATGCAGATCACTTCAGCGTGTACTAAACTGCTGAAACAGATCAGCTCCCACAGCACTAGAGGAACTGTTTTAGATGTCCAAGATTCTTTTCTTCAAGACAGTGTGAAGATTTCCTGAAGAATTATTACCACCTCAGAGGAAAATTAACTACTCTTACTCATGCCAATGCTCCAGCACTGCCACATACCTTCTCGTAGTACTGGATGTTTTTATCTGCCATCCCCATGAGTAGCTGCCTAAAGTCTTGTCTTTTGTTGTTTTGCCATCTCTCCATGTCTGCTTTCAGGTCAGCATTGAAACACTCTACTCGGTCTTGGCATTTCTCAACATCTGTGGGTACCTGCAGCAAAAGAAATGAAGATTGAAACTGTCACTGAGGGTGCTGGATTGCTGAATTAGCTCAGACTTCACTGAGCAAAGCTACAGAAGAAAGGGCAAGTTAACAGTCTGGTAGTTACCCTGAATAAACTTGTTATAGCTGCAGGGAGAAAAGACCCAATTCTGTATTAGTGAGGAGAGGGGATTTCTCAATTTGTTCTCTGCTGTTTGAGGCAGTGGGCAATTGTGCTTGTCCATCTCCATACCAGATATGGAGACTGAGGAAGATGTTCCTTGCTAGAGGCATATAAAAAGGAATGTAATTTGGTGTGAGCACTCGGTGCTTAGGCACAGTTCCTAGTTCTCCAACTGAGCAGCTCAACTACAGCTCCAGAGCAAGCTTTCTCTTCTTGTTTACAGTTGCACTAGGCATTTCCCAATTTACCCTAGTGTGTATGAAACAATAAACATCTACATTTGTCTGAAGAGCTGGATAAGAGACCTCAGTGTTATCTCTCAACCGTAGTATACAAACAGCAGTAATCAGCTATGGCTGCAGAATAAAATTCTTAAGTCTCTAGCTTCCACATAGAATCTCACAGGCTGCTGGAAAAGAACTTAAGTGCAAGGGAATCACTGTGGATTGGCTTATAGGCCTTTGGGCTCAACACTGGATACGCAATCACACATAAGCAATGGGAGAAATCTTGAAGGACAGCCTATTGCAAGCCTAGGTAGACATTTAAACAGATTATGACAGTAGTCACTGTCCCAAGGCAGATGTACTTTAGGCCAAAGAAGTTGGTGTTCTTTGCTTATGTTTTAAATAACATCATATACACCACTAGGCAACTACAGGGACAATTTACAAATGTTTTGTCAAGCACCTTTTTATTCCTTCTCCTTGTGCTATATAGCCCACACAGATGGGAGGCCTGTAAGGACATGCAGACTAAGCCCAAGACCTCAGAAGAAGAAACTGCTGAGACTCTAGTACTACTGTGAGAACTGGATTTCCACTCTGGAAGCTGTGATTTCCACAAAGGCAAAAGGCACAATGAAGAACATTTGCAGAAGTTTGTAGTGGCTCCTCTCATACTTTCATGAAATTCCCTTTTTCTAAGAGGGGCATGAAGGAAGGAAAATGAAGAGACTACATAAGAAGCTTTTCATGGGTAACAACATAGGGTGTTAGAGGTGTGCTACTAGTCTGCAGTTTGGAAAGGTACATGATTTAGGGAGAAACATCAACTCTGGTTCTTTTCCAAGACATGGACTAGGTCCAACCACTGAAGTATTACATCTACTCAGGAAAGAGCCTACGTCTGTTCTCCAATAAAGCTGTTTGAGACACAAGAAGCACCTTCTTCAGACTCATGGGACTTTACTTTATTCACACAACTAGATTTATACTACAAGCAGTTTGGGTGTTGCTACACATTTTCCCCACCCTCTCTAAGAACTATACTTCTGGCTACAGAATCCACTCTGCTACAACTCCAGACATGAACTTCCCACAGGCTTCAGACAAGAACCACCAAGCCAGTGGCTAGAAGGTTTAGAAGATGCTTCCCTCAAGGCAAGTATGCACTGTGCCATTTTATAAGTACTCTGTTATCTTACCAGGAAAGGTTAGGCTATCAAAAGAAAGAGTCACAAAGTCTAGAAGCAAAACCACATAAGATTTCCCAATCCAATTGTTAGTCTCTAAGCACTCATCAGCTTCATACTTCTGCCAGGACCTGAAACCATAATGAAGCTATGAAAAAAAAAATAAAATCTGTTCTTCATCACAGCCATCTCCTACAGGTCAGGCTGAGAGGGCAGTACAAGTTTAGAGCTACAGAGACAACCCAGTAGTCAGCAAATGGATCACATATGCTCTAATTAAGGAACAACAGCAATGAACTCCAGCTAAGTCTCTACAGGCATCATGAAAGCAGGACACACCAGTCCTATTTGGGAGTATAAATACCTTTCCTTCCAAAACTGCAGCTTCTCAGAACGGAAGCTGCAACTCAGTAGCTGAAACAAAATTTTAAAGTTAATTAACAGATTTTAAGCACTTGAGAGCAAGGTTAATGATAAGGGAGGTTATAGTTCTAACATCAAATTTGGACATAAGTTGAAACATCAGTGCTATGCTTTTATCTGCTTTTATCATTGGAGACACCAAATAGCAGCTAGCAACTAGGAATTGAGAAGGAAGAAGATTGGACTTGGGGGGAAGTTGTTATTTGAATAACTCAAAAACCCCAGCCCCCAAAACCAAGCAATAACTGGCTCAAACTCCAATACACTCTGGAAGGGCCCATCACCATTTTAGTAAGTCAATTTAAACTGAGATGTATACGCAGGTAAGAACTGAGCATAAATATTCAGGAGTCTGGTCACCTCATTATATGACATGAAGTTCTGCACCTTCATCTATTTCTTTTCACAAAGTTCTTGAAGAAACCAGTCTCAGTACGCCTCACATCTAGAATTTAGTGTGGTGAAGTGCAGATGGCATCACTTGCAGTGTAAGCATGTCCACTTTTTAAAACTCCTCTACAGCATCATTACCAAATAACAAATGGTCCTGAAGCACAACAAATCCAGCATTTATTATGCAACTAGTCTTTGTACATTATATTTTTACCTTCCTAGTTCTTGTAAAACATATACTGTCCCAAGCCCTTTTTTCTTCTCTGTAAATACACATGGTCACCTTCTACTTCAAGTTCTGCACTGTCATATTTATTGTTCCCATTGATCACCACACTGTGAAGCTTTTTGAGGTGAACAGAATAAATTAGGCCAGAGATAGACTTCACCTCACCAAAAGGAAACAATGCCTGCACTTCACCGTGTTGGTTGGATTACTGCAAAATCAGCTCCAGCATAGGTCAGAAATGGGTAAGACGCACTTCACCACTATACCTGTTAGAAACAGAAAGGATGCAGACTCCACACTAATACCGTTACAAACCACATATACTATGCTTTTGGTATAAACCTCAGCATTCTGAGCAGTATTTGCTGACAGGCATTTACAGTAGCCCTTACAATTCTTCCACATTTATAGGCCACTGAGTTCTAAGCTGATTATCTCAATGTGAGAATGACCTAATGACACCAGAGTTTTGTGAAGACAATCAGATTATGTGTACACTGAGTCCCAGAATGCCCTCCGGTGGAAAAGATTAACAAGTAACAACAAACCCTCATTTTGTGATCCACAAGTAGGCCTTTTTCACCTTAAGGGTTTGGTTCGGTGGTTTGGGGTTTTTTTGGGGGGAGGTATGGGAGTGTGGAGTGTAGTGTGGTGGTTGTGGGTTTTTTTTTCCATAATTTCTGCCAAATCAGTTAAATAAAAGGAATACAAATGGCATTCACTCAGCCCACAACCCTCTCTGTGCTTTTAGTTTCCAGCAAGTCATAGCCAGAAGACCTCACTAAATGTAAGATGTACTGCTAGCCACAGCTCTGAGCTAACAGCTCTTACAGATGACAACATTCCCTCCAGGTGGAAAGGATCTGAAAACCATGAGCTAGTAGTTCATGAACATGCAAGGAGTTCTATTAGTTTGTTCAAATTCATCTTGTTGCCACAAAAGACTTGTATTAGAAAAGAGGTATAAGGAGTTGCCGAAAGATAGTCTCCTCTCCAGAGTATAAGCATAAGTATTCAAAAAATTCTTAGACAGCTATTTAAGTTCTGTGCTTTACACAATCATGTCACTGAGAAGTAGATGCAAAAGCCTTTCAGTAGATGAGAGATTAAAAAATTCAGCAGTTCCACTGCATCAAGATCTTGATAACATAAAATGCTTAAAAAAACTCAACTGGCTTGCTAGATATGCTATATTTAGTTTCCCCTATCCTACATACAACTTGTTAAAATGCTTGCTTATATAAAGCTACATTGAGGAAGTAAGAGTACATACCACACCAACCAGCAGTGGGGGAGGCAAAAGACCAAAATACAAGAGCACCACAAGATACCTAAGACACCACTATTTGTAGAGTCCATGACAGGCCACAAGATCAGAAAAATACTAGTTTGCCTTTCTATCCTCTGTTCCTCTTCAGCTTCTTAGATTGAAGACGTTACGTGAACCTCCTGAAGATTCTTGTACAGTAGTCCTAATACTGAAAAGTCATCCATTAGTTAACACAAAGATGAAGGGGAACCAGAAAACCCCAAGCAGAGAAAGGGAACAAGCCTGTTGTCATTGCTGGTTAAAGCTGCAGTGATATTAAAATAGGGCTCTTGCACATTGCTTCATACAGAAAGCAGGTGGCAGCACAAACACATCAGTACGCAGCTTTGCTTCTGCATGAAGCCCAGCCAGAACCTATCACCAAGTGATACCTGCAGTGTCTGTTCAGCACCACACAGGAAGAGCTCCTTAGCAGAAGTAGCAAAATATCGAGTCTTCCACAGTCAAAACAGATCTTTTACAATACAGTGCAGCATTGACAGGGCTAGGGCCTTAACTCAGCTAGCTGACATACTGCTAAATCACTAGGGTCTGTTCTACCATGCTTCAGTCCATGTCCCTGAACACTCAAACTGACTGCTGGCTGTTGTTCGAGTGTTACACAGGTCAGAACCATCCTGCTCTGAACATTGGGAGATCAGTAGCACCGACATTGCTAAACTGGTTATATACATTCACACATAGTTTATTTTGCACCAGCTTGCCAACAACAAACTGCTGTTCTGACAGAAATTGTTTATACTGCAAAGAAGCTGCCAGACTCAGACAAAGCAATTTTGTTTCTCTGTTCTTCTGGGGAAGTAATGTAAGTGCAAGATGGCTTTTTAGAGTAGTTTTAAGTGCTAACCTTTGGACGGTCTTCTTTTTTCAAGGCTACTGCTTCCAGTTTTGCTTCATACTCCGCTTGAACTTGGTCTCTCTTCTTCAATACATTCTATTGGCAAGAGAAGAGACAGCTGTGAGAGGGATTCTTTTGTTCCTTCTCTCCCCAACCCACAAGTGCAAAATGATATAGCTTAAGTGCTAATTCAGTCCAAAGACAGACAGTCATACTTACTTTGTCCTATTTTACAGTATTTAGGGAGTAGCTTTTAAAAAAGAGCACTTGCTTTCCAGCAGCTGGCAGGATCAGATAAAATTCAACTTTTGGACAAGCTGGAGGCATGCAAGATAGAAGCTGTAATGTAACCATGAATATAACCCTAAATAAGTTCAATTCAGCAGCTGACCTATTATTAGTATGAAAAGGATATAAACAAAGGCATCAAAGCTGTCAAAGACTAGTGCAAAGCTTTGGATATCCTCAAGCAGCAGACAACAGCGTGGGCTAAAAGAGACAGGAAGGCCACCACAGAAGGTATTACATCTTCCTTTTCACTTGAAAAGGCTCCACAAAGTCCTTTATAGCAAGCTGCTACATTCTCATGTTAGAACAAAAGTAAGCTTTGCTTTTAGATCAGTTGGGGTGGTTTGGCTGTTGGTTTAATTAAAAAAAATTGAAATTGTGAAAAGAACAATTTACATGAAAAGCACTGAACTACCCAAGTGAGTTTCATAAGCAGTAAACATTTTATTGATAAAGTCTCAGAATAGAGAGCAAAAGATGCTACCTTATCTTATACTACATCAACAAGCCAACATCTCCACTAAGGTTATACCACAGTCTTACAGTTTAAAACAATTGATTTCTGTGGTTGTTTTTAAAGAATATACTACTAAAAAAAGCACTTCTGTGTCTGCAAGAGTGGGCAACTTCTTCAGCCTTCACAACTAGTAATATTTTATAACTCAGTTGATGAAAAGTTATTATTAAAAATGCTCAGAGGGAAGTCAGCCAGCACTCACTGCCAAGGCACCTGTAAATTTGAATTTCTCTTGCAGCTGACTTGGCCAGTTCATGCTTCAAGTCTTCCCTTCTGCCACCCAGAAAGCATTACCCATCAAGACAAAAGGAGGTAACTAGTCACTTTATTATAAAGCAGGACTAGTCACATGCACTGCTGCTTGCAGAAATAGCTGTTTAAGAGTAGTTCTCAGAGCTCTAAGATCCTGTCTAGCCAAGATTGGTTTCCTAATTAAAGATGTACAAACCCTGTCATCTTCTCCCTCCTCCCTCTTAAGCCAAGGAAAGGTCACCAGTGCAGTTGCTCTAGATAGGAGACTTGCAATCAATTCTTACAAACCTCAGCCCATGATAAATGGGAAAGGCACCTCATCCACAAAGTTGCTATTGGTTTAGACAAAAAAAGGAGGCAAAACTGAAAAATTCACCTTCACCAGCTTAACCCTCCCTTTTGACCTCAAAGGGACGCAAGCACGCCATTGGTTGTGTTTGCTTGAAGAACCACAACATCCCCGTTCCTTTTGGAATCTAGGCAACTATGTGGTATAGCCCTTAAGTGGTTGATGTTACCAATGTAACAAAAGCCTGAGAGATTTTACAGGTATTTCTACTTCGCATTTCCTCTTGAACCTGAGTCAACTGAAACTTCTCAGAAAAACCACTGCCTCGAGCAATTGCATTCAGCCTGCAGTTAGTGCAGTGAACTGTATCTGTACCAGGAGTAGACAATGATTAACAGGTATCAGCAGACTAGATTCAAAGAGCAGGTGTCTTATTTGTCCTTAATCCATCCACTGTGGACCATTAAGAATATGCTTCTGAATTCAGCTTTAAGTATCCATTAATGGCTGACCTGTAAGTGATGAGAAAAACACTGCCTTCCCTTTCACTTGTCCCATATGTGAGAGGAAGCACTTCCTCTGGCTCCTCCAAGCAATCTCTTCTCAGTTGCAGATCAATGCATTAATGCTTCAGCAGCTCTGAAATAACAAGTATCCCAGACTTACCCAGCCCATGCAATACTTTCACTAGTTAAGGCCTTACTTTAAAAAAATCCTTAAAAATAAAAAATACAAAATTTTTAAGAGAAGCTGGAAGAAACCAACACCAGATACCCCCCAAATTTCAGGTATTTGGGGACAGAACTAGCCCATTAGTCCCTGTACAAGCAAGACTTAACTTGCTTTCAGTGAGGTAGGTCCTCCATTCTATATTTAGCTAAAAGATTTCACCTTGGCCCACATCTCTGAAGGAGCTTCAGCAGTTTGCCACCAGCCTCCCTCCCCAAATTGCAATCCTATTGCATTTGCACACTGCATAACTTCCTCCTATGACTAGTCTTCACAAGAGGATCCTTATTTACTGCACACCTTTAGAGAGACCGTTACCTGTTCATGGAGTGCTTGCTTTAAACATGCATTAAAAATAACGCCCAATCACACAGGTGGGATCACATCATCTGATAAGCCTTTCTAGCAGTGTTAACCATACAGAGTTCATGTAACATTTTAGTATCAGCACTGAATTATGTACAGATGAGTTCACCCTCTGCACTTGCCTCCCTGGGGAACATCAGCATACCTCAAAAAATGTGGTACCACACATTTGCTGACAAGGGCCTCACTGCACCAGGATTTGAGACATTATCTGACTATCTCAAACATGCCCTGTGTTTTAGGTCTCAACTAGACACAACCAGCACACATTTTAACTCAAGCCCACAATGCCAGCCTCTCCCCATTTCTGCAAACCTTTCAAATTAAGCCAAAGACGGGGCTTTCCTGAAGTCAGCCAATATTTATTTAAACCAAACTACTGGGCTTCGCCTCTGTGTGGCAGTTCCTTCAGGCTGCCTCTCCTCAGGTATAAGAGTGCTCCTGAAGACACTAAGGTGAATATTCATCTCAAATAATGAAGATAATTTGACAGTTCTTATTCCGAGGGACATTCATCCAGCCAGAGATTGCTCTACAAATCAGGTTCCCATACCTATATCTAGGGTACATTATGCAGAGAAAGCTATCAAGGTTGCACTAAACTCCTCGTACATATCAAGCACTTTTATCAAGGTCCCTGTCCAAAAGCTGTGTTCTGAAAGACCTAAACAGACTTTCAATTTCACAAGCAGGCCTCACAAACTGAAGAATAGGACTGCACTGCTGAAGAGGATGGCTCTTTCAGCAGAAAGCCTCTTGCACTCAAAAAGTAGCCTTCTTTACAGTTACTTAATTCAGTTTTGTGGAGTCTGGGAAGGCAGTTCTGTAGCTGCTTACTGCAGAAATAGCAATAGACTGGTATTTTCTAGCATAAGAAAACTGCACTTCATATGACCAAAAGAGATTTCGGTTTGGTATCTGGGAGGGAAGGAAAATAAACTGTCTGCCTTGGCTAGCTATAGTTTTTATTCTTGATTTTCAACAAAGTAAAGCTAATGGAGATGCCCAAACTGGACACTAAGCAGCATAATCTTTATCTGCTATTAACTGCTATTTTGCAAGTGTGGTTTCTGGATCCAACTAGTTCCAAAGCACAATGAGTATGTTCAGTACATTACCAGAGAATAAACAACAAGAAGAGTGACTCCTTTAGTGCCTAGAAAGTAGAGTCAGTAGTCTAAAAATTAAGCTAAAAACTAAGTTTTTTTTCAAGCAGAAGAGGTACTTCAGGCAGTTAAACACCACTTACCACAAAGAGTGTGGTGTTAAAGACTCAAAGCTAGTCTACTCCTTGGCTTGGAGAATGCACTTAGTGTCTTTGCCATCATCTGACAAGAGCCCTTTTAGAATGGGACTGTCTCCAAGCCAACAGGTAGTCTAGCTCTAAGTCTTTAATGCCTCTCTCCCTCTGCTAAGTGGTGTTTAACTACACGAAGTACCTCTTCAGCTGAAGAAACCCTTGGTTTTTATCTTTTTTTACTCCACAATTGTGAAAAGCGCCTCTCAATTCAGTTTGCCAGTTCAGATGCCATCTAGAGTAGGCCCTGGCGTTTATAGGATCAAAAGCTAGATGTTCTGGGCTAAAAGCTTTAACCATTAGCCTCATGTTCTTTTTATTTGTAAGTACACACACCCTCCTTCCTACAGAATAAGGGTAAGTCTGAACACCCTGGGTCAAGGCTTCAAGCTACAGCTCAGGGTGTTCTAGCAATAATTTGGTGTTAATAGTCCTGTAAAGATAGTGTGCCTCACTTATGCTGGGGTCAATACCATGACTGTGAAAGCAAAGAGTATACACGTGCAAAGCCTTCTGCAAGAATACTTCAGCCAGGCAAGACAGGAGTCATACAACTCCTGAAGCTGGGAAAATAAATCTGAAAGTAAGCGTTTCATTTCTCGGTGTGAGAAGTATAGGATGACTAAGATTAGGGTGGAAAAGGACTACCATGTCAAGGCTGTAGTTTTACCACAGGCTGTGAGATCTTAAAGGAGTGTATATCATAGCCTCATAACGGTTGTTCTAAATGGAAAGTCCTCAGAAGGAATTTGTCTGTTAGTACCCTATAGAGGGACTGATAATACATACTGTACCATAAACATGTGGTGAAAAGCTCCAATAGCCAAACTAGAGCCCTTAGTTTCAGTTTTCAGTGCAGTTAACTCAGTAATGCTTTCCCACATGCAATGGGATTGACTACCAATGCTCCTTAACTTCAAGAGAAGAAAAACTGCATTGAAGTAGCTTATACTGCTTATGCATAAGAAGTAAGATACCAAGTTCTTAGAGAGATTAAAAGGCACAGAACAACATCTTTATGCAGTTACTTGGTATGCAGACCTTAACAGAACTTCACAACAGACACATCCTGTCTGGGGTTATGGGGATGAGAGGGGAAGCAGTGTCTGTCATCTGGATGCATGGTTCTAAAAGGAGCCACCCATCCCTTCTACATATGAGTGAAAGAATTTGCTAATGCTACCTTTCCTTCAGGGCCAGACACTAACCCAGTAGTGAAGAGCTGAGCCACAACCGACTTTATAGCAATTCAAAGAAGATTCTAGGCAGTCACAGATGTCTCCTATGGAGTACCTACCACCTGTCATTCCGATGAAGGAGCAACTCTTCAACACCGTGTGCACTTCATTACTGACCTTAGGTTGACCGAACAGCAGAGTAGATAGCTTGAGCTACCCATGCAGTACTCTGCTACTAAGCATACACAGTTTTGTTTTATGAAAATATCCTCTGACTTAATGTATTATTTACTTCCCCTCTTTTCACACCACCAACGCTTCTCACTATTAGAAAGAATGAAGTCACTAATACAGCATTCCATGCAAACACAACAACAGTGTCTTCTGCCACAGAACTCTACCTTCATTGACTCTGAGTACAATATATATTCCCTAAGCACAGGCAAGAAGTCTTCTGTCATGTCTTCACTGAGTTCTTCAAGAGCTGTGCAGCAGTTCCCAATACAGGCAGACACCCCTTCCAGTGGCTCTGACAGCTCAACCTCCAGCCCTCCCCAGGTTGAATAAACAGGTCCATATTCTCGTAGTTCCACCAAGTATTCTGCAAGAGGCAGATGGAAAAGCAGATTAGCAGAGTAAGAGCAAGGCACAAGGATCTGAAAACAATCACACCAAACAGAAGAAACTATGTACCAAGCTTGGCAAACATTAACTCCCCCAGGAGTCAAGTCTTGTGTTGCATTAGCATCTTAATAGACAGAGCTCTATGGCTGCATAGGTGACAGGTCCAAGTTGCCTCCTACTTAAATGACCATTCCTACAAGCTTCAAATACAAGGACACCTGCATCTGTGCAGTAGCCAATATCATGTTTTTCAAAACATATGTAAAACTTGGCTCTGCTAAGACAGGTCTGTAAAGGTTGTCATCATTATCTAGGAATTCCATCTGCACTCCTCCAGACAGCATCTACTTATTTTTCCCCTCTTCCAAAAATATATCTAGTAAGAGAGTATATTGATATAACAACAAGATCGACTTTGAAAATACTTCTAGAGTTGAGCTAAGGTAAGATACTATGGTAGGCTTTGGGCTTGTTTTAAATCTGCAAGAGGCATTAGATTATGCTCTGTGTGTGGCTCATTACAGGACAGAATCATTGATGCAAGCTGTCTTTGTCATGCCATCAACAAGAATAAGATTGAGAGCACTCAAGCTGAAGTATTATGAGAGGGCACCTTGTAGCCTTACCCAACTGTTCCTTAATAATTCGCTGTGCTATTCTGTCAATGGTACCAAGTTTCAGAGAGAATGTGTCTAGATACTCTCCAATGGCTGCAAACTCCAGTGGCCGACTTCTTAATTTGTAGCCTCCTGTGACGTATTTGACAGACTCTCCCATCTTCGACAGCAATGCCATTCCTTGCTTTTTGTAGGCATTAAGATCCTATGAAGTTAAAAAAAAGTTTAGAAATATTTCACTTGTGTGTTGGAGGTTAATACAGTGAAGAATACTTTCCAGTCAAGATCAGTTTTGTGAAAGCAATAGATTACATGTGACGTAGTCTTGGACAGAACCTCACTTTGTAGAAGTTGTAGAGCCGAGCACAGTTTAAAGACTATCTCTATACGGAGACTGGCTATCCAGGAGAATGGTATGAAGTAGAGTACAAATGAATAGGCGGTCCACCTTTGCGCATGGCCAGACTTTCCCATGTTCCTGTACTGTAATCAGGGAAGTAGTGTTATTAACAGCTCTGTTTCCACCAATCCTGTTCATGCCATTGATCCACACATACTTTTAAGTCACTGCCCATGATACCAGTATTATGCAAATGCACCAGCTGGCTCTGATGACCTAGTACAAAGCTACATATTGCATGTCTATTTGGTCAGCAGCCTCCTCACACCAGTTGTGTGGTCAGATAGGAGGCAGGGGAAGACTGTACATGGAGAAACACAGCACAGGGAGATTAGCACAGTTTTTCTGCAAGGCAGACTGCAACTCAGGTTGGTTCAGATGTAGCCATGTTGCCTGCACAGAAGGCTTAAACTTCCTTGCCAATGCTTTACATGTTCACATAAGTCAACATTCAGACAAGCCTATGTTAACAAGGTTGTTTACCTACAATCTTCAGGGGATTTCACCTTGAAAGCACATCGGTTAGCCAAAACGTCGTCCATTTTACATTTTACTCCTTCCAGCAGAGGTCACTATTCAACATCTCAAACTACATTACCTATGCAACCTGAGGAAGACATGTTTTCAAACCAAGCAGGCCTACCAAGGTCAAGAATCAAGACATGGTGTTATAGACTAGACTAAAATTTTAAGTGTTCTTTAAAAAAATAACAGCCATCTTCAAAACATGTACTATGGCATTCTTTCCAAGTACTTATTTATTAGTCAAATGCAAGTTTAAGAGAACCTGACATCTTAGCAGCTACTATGATTTTGAATTATGCAGTGGTTCCTGTACTCTTGTCTTCTGCCTGTCCTAAGCTCCACCTGCAGGTAGGCATCAGAAGACAACTCAACTTTAATTCAAAATTATTCACTCACTCTCAGGCATTCTGGTGTATTACTGGTCCAAACAGAGAACTTAAAGAAAGGTTGGTTTCTCAACCAGAAGGTGGTCTTGTGACTTTTTGCAGTAACTAAATTCTGAAGCCCTCACACACTGAACTGACACCTCACTGCTGCAATACAGCAAGTTCCAGCACTAGAGACAGACAGAAAAACACTTGCCCTTTTTCCTCAGTATCCCTGGTTGTATTCTCAAGGCAAGCCCAGTCCAGGGCTAAGTGATAAAGTCACAGAATCATAGCATCATCTAGGTTGGAAAAGACCTTGAAGATCACCTAGTTCAACCATTAACCCAGCACTGACAGTTCCCAACTACACCATATCCTTCAGCACTAAGTCGACCCTACTCTTAAACACCTCCAGGGATGGGGACTCCACCACTGCCCTGGGCAGCCCATTCCAACACCTAACAACCCATTCTGGAAAGAAATACTTCCTAATATGCAGTCTAAACTCTTCCTGGCACAACTTGAGGCCATTCCCTCTTGTCCTATCGCTTGTTACTTCATTAAAGAGACTCATCCCCAGCTCTCTGCACCCTCCTTCCATGTAGCTGTAGAGGGCAATGAGGTCTCTGCTCAGCCTCCTCTTCTCCAGACTAAACAATCCCTGTTCCCTCAACCGCTCCTTGTACAACATGTGCTCCAGACCCTTCGTTGGACCCACCAACCAGCTTCGTTGCTCTTTGGACATGCTTGAGTAATTCAATGTCCTTTTTGTAGTGAGGGGCCCAAAACTGAACCCAGTAATCGAGGTGCAGCCTCACCAGTGCCAAGTACATTTTACAGGGGTGGGAGAAGATGACTAAGCAGCTGAGACAGTTGCATCATGCTTTGACAGCTGAAAAGCAGAACAAAGCTATCTAACATTTAACTATCAAGGTGCTAAACAAATTTCTGCATTACTGGCTTGTTTCAGCAGTTAAGTTCACCATGGAGGAGAAATAAAAGGAAACTGGAGCTTGAGTCTCACATTACCAGCAAGCAGAACATGAGCCTGAAGCAAGCTCAAATTGTCACATTTGAGTGAGCTAGCATAATGTGACATTGGAAAGATGTGCTTCTACAGCTCTCCTCACTTATCAGGTCAAACCCAAGCATGAATGTAGGTCCTCCTGGTCTTATTTAAAACACAGTTCAAAAGACAGACAAAGAAAATTGCACTGTTGGTGGATAAGTCATGCAGAAGATGAGCAAGAAGTTGTTGACCAAGAACAAACAAGAATGAGGTCATCATGCTTAGTTTTGAGGGGAGCAAGCACAAGTAGTGTAGAAGGCACAAACATGAGAAAAGGAAGAAATCTGAAAGCTTTTGTCAAGAGAAAATCTCTCCTCCCCCACCTCCCTCCTCCCCAAAAGAGGGTTCTACAAAGTCCACAGTTTTCTAAATTCTGAACCTTTCTTGCATCAGAGGAGTATGTTCTGGACACAGGGATACAAAACAAGCAGGTCTGCAGACAACCCCTCCCTTCAAGCAAAGGGAACTCATACCCAACCCCAAAGTTGTCATACACAACATTCAGGGTCCTCAGCAACTCTCTGCTATTTCAGGGAAAATTACATCCGTCACATATAGTTTTATTTTTTACCTTCATTTCAAGAGAGACTGCAAAAGTCCCTGTTCTGTTGTCCCTGTCAATGACTGTGTTTGGAAATTACTGGCTTACCTTGGCTGTGAGAAACACGTTGAAGTGCTCATTGAAAGAAAGCACTGGGTGATCAGTTATTCTCTTCAAGAATTTGTCTAATGCTTTCCTCCTTGTCTCCACAAACTCTTCAGAAAAGCGATCGACCACACCCTTCACCACAAATTTCTCAGGAAGAGGCTGTCAGAGACAAGCAAAATGCACAAGATTCAGAAGATCAAAAACTTGCTTCTGCTATTTGGAAACATACAAAGAAATCAAACTCCAGTCTTAACAGGAGCTGAAGTGTTATGTTTGCTAACAAGAACCATAAATCTGATGGCATGCAAGCCCTGCTCTGAATTACCGTTTAGCTGGTCTGGCCTAACTCTAGCAACTCTACAGAGCAGCTTCAGCTGAGAGCCACACCAGTGAAGCCTAGACAGTACTTACACTAAGTAATTCTAGCAAGGCTTAGGGTGTTCCCTGGTACTGCTATCCGTGTTCAAGCTCCAGCTCTAAAGTGAAGCTGCACACTATTCACTACAGCAATGCATACACACCTCCACCCCAACGCTGAAGCAAGGCTGCTCAGTCCAAGCAAACTCAGTAAACTTAACAATTGCACTTTTCACCTCCTTTCTGAACAATTTAGAGCTCCTGGACAGGACCCTTCTAGAGAGAGATGATAGTCTTAGCGATAGCACCACACTGAGCAAAGATCGACGAGGCTTGACACAGCAAGTGGTCATGTAACCCAGGCTGGAGCCTTCTTGAAGCATTTGCACACAGTCATCTATCACATCTGACATTCCCAAGCATGTCTACATAAGTGGCAAAGGTCTGACAACATATCTACTGTTTCATCTTACTCCTATTTTGACTCCACCAGTTCATCTCCGCAGTTCAGCTTAACACGTAAGCCCAAGTCTGCTTCCAGACTTGCTAGTTCTGCAGTACCTCCTGTTACACTTAGACTCCAGACTTCAAAGTACCACTTCAGATGGAAGATATCTCTTAAGTTTCAGCATGGTTAGTTTCAGCTCCACCACTTGATTTGCTTTTGTTCTCTCTGGAAAGCATGGACTATAAGATTAGTATCAATCTTAAAATGGTGCTTTGTATTTTATTCTTGTGAAACAATCCACCCAGATAATCTGTGTACTCTTAGGCTAGCAGTAACAGCCATTTTCACCAAATTCAGGAATCAGGATTCTCCTCTGCAAAGAGTCTTTGTCATCTGAAATCTGTGACAAAAGTAATTGAGTGAAAAAGATTATCCATGCACATACCTTTCCCATCATACCCTAGCTGATGTGCAATGTACATGAAGATTGCACCTTCTAAGAAAAGCCAGCCTGACTTAGCTGCAACACAGATTTTGACCACTATATTTAGCTCTTATAATTTAAGACTTATCTTATTATACTTAGCATTCAGATCAGCCATTCTAGTTAAACCACTGTAAGGTACACTTGTTGTTGTTCAGACTGCTTATTACACTGTTGTATTAAATTTCTTCTTAATTTAACCCGGGGTTTGTGCCCTACTTGTGTCCGAGGGTGGGGGAGGGACAACGGCAACATGGTCTCCAGTCCTGGCAGGGCTTAAACCATCACAGCCTTTTTTGGCGCACCAATGTGGGGCACAAGAGGGATGAAATAAGAATCAAAAAGGGACAGATCCTGACCAGAGAGTGTTAGAGCAATCTGTTGGGTGTAATTTTTATGTTTGTATTTGCTTGGTAAGAAAATGTTTGCAATGCTGGCCCACTTGCTTGCGTGGTGGGGCTGAATTAATTTTTATATCCAGTGTATGATCCCAGTGCTCGTGTTTGTTATCGGTGGAAAATGTGTAAAGGGTCTTATTGTGCTCTACTGGCTATTGACTACTTATATTGTGTTTGTATTGCTGGGGGGTGGGGGGGCAGGCCGGGCCGGTACCTGTTTGCTGCCTGGGCTTTTGTTAGGGGTCTCACCCTCTCTATGGGTGAGCCAGGGGAAGAGATCCTCTTGGTTTTTGAGAGTTTCAATTATCCTTGGAGCCTGCAGGCCAGTGTGTTTGTGGCACAATGCCTTCTGAATGCCTGCCTGATTTCGGTTGTGGCCATGCGGCACCTCTCTAACAATAGCAGTGCCCGGAAACCTGCCCCGAGGCCAAATAATAGTGAGTGGCAAGGGGTGTGGGAAAAGATGGGCAAAGGTCTGACTCGGTGGGCATCTCCAATGCTTTGGAATTTCACTCCCGAACAAATGCAGAGCCTTGAAAAGCTGATGGAGTGCTTAGAAAGGGTGCGTTACCAAGCTGGCAAAACCCAAGAGACACAAATTGCTGCAATATGTTGGGGACTTGCCCATACCTACCGTGTCCTCTTTAATAACACCCACTGCCCTCAAGGGGGAGAAAGGGCCACAGAATCTGGAGTGAACTTACTGGTACAGCAGCTGGGCCGGGGGCACAGGCAGAGCCAGTCTCAGTCGCCTCCACCAGCACAGCAACTGAGCCAGAGAGCCAGGCAGTGCCGGTGTCAGTCGCCCCGATACAGAAAACAAAATATACCAGAAAGTCAGTTCGTGAAGTGGGGGATGGGGATGAGCCAGGCCCAGCATGGGAACAGGAGGAAGGGCCAGTGGTGATCATCTGATCTCTATCCCTGACTGAGCTGTGAGATATGCGGAGAGATTTCGGCCGCCTGGAAGGCGAGCAGATTTGCACCTGGCTGCTCCGATGCTGGGACAATGAAGCTAGTGCTTTTGAGAAGGAGGGGAGAGAGGCCAGGCAGCTGGGATCTTTGGCCAAGGATGCTGGCATTGATAGGGAAATAGGGAAACAGGCTCAAACCCTCAGCCTCTAGAAGCAACACCTGCTCAGTGTAAGGGAGAGGCACCCCTACAAGGATGATATCCTGTGTCAGCTGAGCAAATGGACCAGCATTGAGAAAGGCATCCAGAACCTCAGGGAATGGGCTGTGTTTGAGACGATCTATGGTGATCTGAATGATGAGCAGTCACCCATGGACCCAGATCAGGCCCCTTGCACACACCTGATGTGGTGAAAACTCCTGAAGAGCGCACCAGAAGCACACTCGAAAGCATTGGCAATAGTGTCCTGGTGGACAGACACCCACACTCTGACAGTGGATGGAGTGGTTGGCAAGTTCCGGCAATAGGAGGGAAATCTTCCTTCATCTCAGCATTCCTGGGTGTCAGCTCTGGAGGAACTGTCTCAGAGGATTCAGAAAATGGAAGAGGACATGTCCTACATTCCACCTACATGGGCTGATGTCTCAGCCATTAGAAGTAAAAGTTTCCCCACCCAAGAGAAAGGCAGCAGAGGATCCCTCAGTGGTGGGGCGGCTTAAGGTTGAGGAGCAGCGGCTGCCGATTGCTACCAGGACGGTGCAGCAGCGGCAGTACCGCACCAACCGAGACTCCCTGGTCCCCATCCATCAGCTGATCTGTCAACTAGAAAGCCAGAAAGTGATCAGCAAAACTCACTCACCTTTTAACAACCGTATATGGCCAGTGAGAAAGTCTAATGGCGAATGGAGGCTTACTGTGGACTACCGTGGCCTGAATGAAGTTACGCCAGCAATGAGTGCTGCTGGACATGAAGCAGATGGTATAAAGGGGTGGATTATGTCCTGGTTCAGCTAGGATAGGGTTAAGTTTCCCCAGCAGAGAAGGGAGAAGGGATCTCCAGGTGGCTTATTCATACCATGTTGACGTCAGGTCCGGCGCAGCAGAGCGGGAACTTTTTCCCTTGTGGCTTCAGTCATGGGGAGCACAGGGCTGTCCGTAACCACTGCAGTATTTCTCTGTATATCTTTTGTCTTGTTCACTGTTACTGTTTATTGTTATCATTGCTACTGTTGTTGTTCAGATTGCTTATTACGCTCTTGTATTAAATTTCTTCTTATTTTACACAGAATCATCTAGGTTGAAAAAGACCTTGGAGATCATCTAGTCCAACCGTTCGCCTAGCACAGTTCCCACCTACAGCATATCCTTAAGCTCCAAATCGACCCTACTCTTCAACACCTCCAGGGATGGGGACTCCAACACCTCCCTGGGCAGCCTATTCCAACACCTAACAATCCAGTCTGTAAAGAAATGTTTCCTAATATCTAGTCTAAACTTTCCCTGGTGCTACTTGAAGCTATTCCCTCTTGTCCTCTCACTTTCTACTAGGCTAAAGAGGCTCAAACCCAGCTCTCTGCAGCTTCTTCTCAGGCAGCTGTAGAGGGTGATAAGGTCTCCCCTCAGCCTCCTCTTCTCCAGACTAAACAATCCCAGTTCCCTCAGCTGCTCCTCATAGGACATGTGTTCCAGACCCTTGAGCTTTGTAGCCCTTCTCTGGACACGCTTGGGTAACTCTATGTCCTTTTTGTAGTGAGGGGCCCAAAACTGAACACAATAATCAAGGTGTGGCCTCATCAGCACCAAGTACAGGGGCAAGATCCCTTCCCTGTCCCTGCTGGACACGCTATTGCTGACACAAGCCAGGATGACATTGACCTTCTTGGCCCCTGGGCACACTGCTAGCTCCTGTTCAGCCGGCTGTCAGTCAACTCCCCCAGGTCCCTCTCTGACTGGCAGCTCTCCAGCCACTCCTCCCCAAGCCTGTAGCACTGCTGGGGGTTGTTGTGGCCCAAGGGCAGCCCCCGGCATTTGCCCTTATTGAAACTCCTCCAGTTGGGCTCAGCCCATGGCTCCAGCCTGCCCAGGTCTCTCTGCAGAGCCTCCCTACCCTCGAGCAGATCAACACTCCCACCCAACTGGGTGTCACCTGCAAACTGACTGAGGGTGCACTCAATCCCCTCGTCCAGATCATCAATAAAGATGTTAAACAGGAGTGGCCCCAAAACCCAGTCCTGGGGGACACCACTCGTGACTGGCTGCCAGCTGGATTAAACTCTGTTTACCACAACTCTCTGGGCCCAGTCGTCTAGCCAGTTTTTTACCCAGCGAAGTGTGCAATTGTCCAAACCTTGAGCAGTCATTTTTGCCAGGAGAATGCTGTGGGAAACAGTGTCAAAGGCCTTGATAAAGTCAAGGTAAGCAACATCTAACCCTCATCCAATCAGCAGGTCGCTCTGTCACAGAAGGAGATCAGGTTTGTCAAGAAGGACCTGCCTTTCACAAACCCATGCTGACTGGGCCTGAGCATCTGGGTGTCCCTCACGTGTTGCATGATGGTACTCAGGATGAGCTGCTCCATCAGCTTCCTGGGCACCAAAGTCAAGCTGACAGGCCTATAATTTCCCGGATCATCCTTCCAACCCTTCTTATATATGGGTGTCACACTGGCCAATTTCCAATCTGTTAGGACCTCCCCGGTCAGCCAGGACTGCTGGTAAATGATGGAAAGCAGCTTGGTGAGCACCCCAGCCAGCTCCTTCAGCACCCTCGGGTGTATTGCATCTGGTCTCATAGACTTGTGTATGTCTATGTGATGCAGCAGGTCACTGACTGTCTCCTCCTGGATTGCAGGGGAGTCATTCTCCCAGTCTCTGTATTCTGGCTGTGGAGGCTGGATTTCATCAATACAACTAACCTTGTTACTAAAGACTGAGGCAAAGAAGGCATTAAGCACCTCAGCCTTCTCCTCATCACTTGTTACCAAATTTCCTCCTGCATCTAGCATGGGATGGAGACTCTCCCTGGACTTTCTTTTGCTACTGACATAGAAACTTTTCTTGTTATCCTTGATTGCAGAGGCCAAATTAATTTCCAGTTGGGCTTTAGCCCTTCTGATTTCTACCCTGCACAGCCTCACAGCCTCTTTGTAATCACTGTGTGCGGCTAGCCCATTCTTCCAAAGGCTGTAAACTCTCCTTTTCTCGCCGAGTTGCAGCCAAAGCTCCCTGTTCAGCCAAGGTAGTCTTCTCTGGCATCGGCTTCTCTTAGAGCATCTGGGGACCGCCTGATCTTGAGCCATTAACACTTCCTTCTTAAAGAGTGCCCAGCCTTCCTGGGCCCCTATACCCTTCAGGGCAGTCTCCCAGGGGATCCTTTCAAGCAGGTGCCTAAACAAGACAAAGTCAGCCCTTCTGAAGTCCAGGATGTCAGTCCTACTTAACTCTCTCCTGACCTCTCTAAGAATAGAGAACTCTATTATTCAAACATCACAATCTAAAGACAAGATCCTTGTTAGACTTAGATCTGTCTCTAGACTAGAAAGATAAGAGCATTTCTACTGTTGTTTGAAAGAACATATTAAAGTAAGTCTCAGATCATTTAAAAAGTAAAAAATCAGTAACCAAAGAGATGAAAACGAACCCATATTCAGTTTAGTTTGGGTTCCTAAGTGTAGGCTATCATGACTCACTGCACTGAGAAGACAAATCATTTGGTGCAGGAAGATTTTAGGCAGAGGCATTATACCAATATTAAGACGACAACCTGGTATTTTGTTAGACAGAAGGCCTCCAGGGACTGCAGTATCTCCAATTACAAATACAGACACTCTTAGACTTGTTTGAAACATCCTTTCAGAACATCCTTGAGTCACAGTGCACCTGAAACTGCCTTTAGCTTCTACTGCCCATCTACTTCTAGGCATAAAGCTTTCATTAATCTCTCCATCACACCACTGCATGGAGGAGTTTAATATGAAATTCCGTAACTGCTAACTTGTGCATAGATAGGTAAAAGAGGGCAGTGCATCCTTACGCTTTCACTTTTTCTAGAAGAGAGGCACTTAAGACATTACTTCGTTCTGCATCTGGTTTCATGTCCAGTATTAGAGCTACTTGTGCCAAATTTACTGTTCTGTGTACAACAAATTCCAGGTCACAGCAGCTTGATTCCCTGGCTGTGATTCACCTTCTGCAACTAGACTATTATTTCTTGTCTTGCTGCCTTCAGGCAGGAGTAGCAGCCCGTTACTACACTCAGGAATCTGCAGAAACTTAACTTCAATAGCTCCCGATGTTCAGAGACAGGGAGGGAAGAAAGAGGGTCTGGACAGACAACACATTACTAATCTCATGTCTCCACCTTACCCCAGCAAGCTCACACTCTCTTCTATTCTCTCTACCCCTGAGTAAACATATTTGCTGCCAGTTAGTGGTATCACATGATTTTGTGAAGTATTTCTTATCTTTGAGAGAGTGAGCTATTATTCTACTGAGAGGCAAGTCCCAGAGTAATTAAGGACTTAAATAGCTCTCTACCCTGGAACAGTCTATCTAAATACTTCTCACTTAGCCTAGTCCTTGCTGAGGGAGGGAGAGCCAAGAAACTTTGTCACCCTATCCCAGATAAGCAAGCTAAGGCATGCTAGCAGTATTGCTATTTCCCAACAATTCATCTCCTACATGCTTCTTTGAATTTTTTTTGTTCAAAAGAGCTGATGGTGGTCTCACAAGCTTCCTACATGTTCACATCTTCCACAGCATGAAAAACAGACTGCTCAAGATCAGTATCAACCTCTTTGTATCACATAAGGTGGTCAGACTGCCAGCTTCAGTGATAAGATGGGGTGCAGTAGTTTAGCTAATCTCATTATCTAAACTTCTGCCTACTGAAGGCATGTAATAGCCAACAAGCCAGAGGCTAAGATTCATAAGGTTGTGATATTAAATGGGTTTTTTTTTTTATTACTCTTAAAATCAGCTCAAAAGGCCATCGTGAAAAGTAACTGCATCTAGGACTTGAGGTCCCTGTGTGGCTTTTTCTGTCTCAGATACTTGGAAATCTAGATGGAATAATTGAACAAAGAGATGAAGCATATTACACTTATGCCACAACAGATGTCATTAGCACACACACTGCCCTACAGGAGACTGTCAAAGCTCACCTCTCAGGTATGTCACTTAAGTCTAAGCTTCATAATCAGTCAAGAACAGGAAGCTCTTCCCACTCTACTAGAAGAAAATGAAGTGCCATTATTTAAATCTAGATACTCAAGAGAATGAAATACTGTATTTAAACCTAAAGAGAAATATCACCCTTGGAAGACAGATACAGAACTGTCCTTAGTAGCAGATTTTTGCTTACTACCTACGGGAATGAGATGTGTTGGTTGAGACTCTTCCAGCTTGTTTCTCAACCAGTCAAAGTCCTGGTATCGCCGTCGGACAGAATACTCTGGCAAATCAAACTCTGCTCGTGTGGTCTGGAAGAGAAGAACAGGATAAAATTAGAGTGCACCAAAACCTTTCACTCCAGAGTTTATCAACAAATGCAGTACAGTTATCGCTGGCAACGGTTAGGACAGACAAGCCTTGCACAGGGACTCTATCCCCAAAATTGTGTTTGCAGCCAACGTGAGAGAAAGGTTCTCTGGCCTTTCAAGTAGTGAGAAAGTCAGCAATTAGAATAAATATTTCTTGGAACTGATGTGTTCTTAAGACCTATACGTACTTCATTATATGTTCTGTTCAGATAGAGAGGAGGCTGTAGAGAAGGAGTACTGTGCACCGTGTTAATCTCTTGGTACTTGCAAGCCTGCAGGGAAGACTGTATGAATTCTTTATTCCAAGGTCAAGACTGCTCTTAATTCTTGATGGCTAAAATAAAGGTATTTAGTGATTTGCTTGTTCTATGATGTGTATTAACTATGGGTGAAAAAACGTGTTTCAGCACTGCACCATGTTCCAGAAGTGACAGGCTTATTACACTCCTTCAGAGCTGAAAGTTTAGGATATAAACCATTGCTAGGTTTGCCAAATGACTGTTTTTGTTGATTTCTGAGGAAGAAATGAGGCTGTTTATACTAAGTTTCTAAAAATAAAAAAATGGGCAAGATTCTAAAAATAAAAAAATGGGCAAGACATTTTCAGAGATTTATTGAAGACTACAGCACAATAGTGCCTTATTAAAGATATACATTAAGTTCACAGAATAGGTTGGGAGGAACCTTAAAAATCATCTAGTTGCAACCTCCCTGCCATAAGCAGGGACACTTTCCACTAGACCAGTTTGCTCAAGGCCCCATCCAACCTGGCCTTGAACATTTCTAGTGTTTAGAGTTAAATCTTTAAAGTTTTCATTCTCTAGCACAAGGAGTTAAACTTGTCATTACAAATTTGGAACAGAAGCTAAATATGAAGAGAAACCACTGGCAAATGTTTTGTTCAGTCCTCAAACAGTTTATGGCCTAGAAAGCTGACTGCACAGGGCTGCTTGCACAACACCTACTGCAAGTGCCTAAAAGCACTAATGAAACTGTGTACCAACTAGGATTCTCCACTAAAGAGCCTGGTATTGCGATAGTGATGATTGGAAGGTAGACATTGCACTGTGAAGCGCAACTCAGAGAAGCCTAGAGAGCTACACTTAGTTACTTGCAGCATCAAGAGCATCATTCAATGAAGGTGATGTAGTGTGCTTCCATTGCAGCATGTCTACAGCTAAACATCAAAAACCACTGCATTCTGGGGAACACACCAGTTCTCCTAGCTTTGAACTGGTATCAAATCCAGCACTAGGTTGCTTTGCTACTCCTAGCCACTACAACAGCCTGCTAAATTCCAGCAGAGATTTTGTATTTAACTTACAGACTGAAAGTAACTGCCACATATTTGGAAAGAGCCAAGTAGAAGCGTTTAGATGCTATCTACCTCTCCACTTGGTCTCTGAATGGCTCCAACTCCTCACTTACTGCATGTTACTCCCACTAATCCCCACTGGGGATCCTGTGCAAGTTCTATGCCAGAAAACTCTTTCTAGGGGAAAGTTAGCAGCCAAAAGACTATCAGCAGAACAGTAGCTCTAGTATACTATAAACAGTATGCTAATGTGGTATTACCTATGAAGTGGTTTTGTTTCAAGAGACAGAAAAGAAAAAAATCAATCTCATCTCCTCCCTCCTCTGACCTATGGTCAGAGATATCCATGTTAGTCCATGGACTAACATAATGAATGCTTACCAATGGAGCAGTCATGTTTGGAGGTGACGGACTACCAAGACCTAGATATCCACTGTGGACTTGTGGTTCACTCAGCTACACTTCAGAGTAACACCAGCTTATTTAACATGTTAAAGTGCCACACTATAAATGAAACTTCTGAGACTTCACATGAATTACTTTCACTTGTTTTGAGTAAGAGACTGAACGGTATTACACTAGAACAAGATAATTCACACACATATAGTCAGTCGCCATCAGCCAGTGGTGCTGACTGCTTTGTTCTTTTAACAGAGCAGTTTTAACTCAGCCTTGCAGGAAAAGACCTGAAATTAAGAAAAAAAAAGTAATGATTTAGTAGTGGAAAGAGCTTTTGTGAACTAGCTGTCACTGGGCAAAGGCCTCTTAAGAGATCAGACAGTGAGTGAATGTGAGTAATCAGGATGTATGCACACTATACTGTCTTATCCTGCAGCATGAGGATGAAGGTAAAATCTCTCATCTGTTAGCACTGAGAACCTTACTGACCAGCATTCTGCTAACAGTTAAGGAAAACTGTATAGGTACTATTCAGTCTAGAAGAAGGAAAGCAGTGTAAGTCCCAGTGTACAAACTTTGCTAGAGAACAGTAACTACTGTAAACTGCTTTTGCCGCCTTTACATCAGAAGCAGATTTGCAAAGTTTTCCATGTATCAGGTTTTGTTCCTCAGAGGGAGGCAGATGAAAATACAGCATAGTCATCTGTATTTCAGTGTTTGCTGTACAGGCTGTCAAATCGAGACAGCAAATAAGCTTTTTAAAGACTATTTGGACAGAGCATAAGGGCTCTTCAAGGCTTTAATGACACTTCACTAATGCTGAAAGAATTTGGATCTCAGATCAAACTGTTCATTAGCTTAGCACAATTTATTTTTTCCAGACTGCACACAAGAAGGAGGAGGGTCTCACTGCTGTCCAGGGATGGCAACTGAAATGTCTATGTTTTTGACACAGCTGAATTCCTCCTGATTTCTTAGTAGGATCCATAAATCTCATTTTGCAAGTACATGTGTCTCCCAAAGGAAGCTGAAAAACTTATGCAGCAGATATCAACCTCCCAAAAATAATGGGCAAGACATTTTCAGGGATTTACTGAAAACTCCAGCACAGTTCCACTAGGTCAGCACTGCAGTATTCTGGGCTCAGTTTTACTTGCTGGAAAGCAGGCAGGGTTACAGACACTTTCACATCTGTTGTTGGAATAGTTTTGACTTGAGGTAGTATTACAGCAATCACCAAGTCTTGGCCTTGTGTAAGATTCTTGTCTTTCTTGAAAGGAGTTAGCAGACAAACCTAAAGCTAGCCTGCAATGACTATGTGGAAGTATTTTTATACCCCAGTTCTAGTCCCTTACTTGGTATACCTGACTATGATTCCCCTCCATGTTACTGTTTAAGTTGGGGGCAAAATCTTCAACTAGAAAGAGAATGGCAGAGAGAAGGAAGCACGGTTTCATTTGCCTGAAATAGCTTAGCCTGCTTGAAAAAGAGCTCATAGCACTTATACCTGCTCCTCTCTAGGGATCAAGCTGTTTCATGTGCTCAGGTAACCTACCCAATGCATATACTGTAAGCAGAAGAAGAAAAAACCCAAGACCACTACTTCAGTATTGACTAGTTTGAAAGCCTCTTCTTTCAAGCCTGCAGAGCATCTGCACAACTGAGGAACAGCACACAGCTGTTCAGACCTCCATGGGAAAAGGCATAGAAGATGTCCTGGCTGTCCTAGAAAGTACAAAAGTGAAATTAGAAGTAGACTTACTTATGTTCACCTTGGGAGAAATGACTACATAAGGGTAAGTTTTATTTCCCCCACCTACTCAGAAAGATCTGCTTGATAAAAATCCCTCTAGAGTGCACCTCAGACCATCTGAAGAGTAAAGAGCCATATCATCAAGAACACCCAAGACACTTCAATCATCGCAGCAGGACTAATTAAATTCCAACACAAGTTTCAACTACTTTTTTTCCACCAGCCTCCTATATCAGAAAACTGTTGTGAGCAAGATGAAAATAGGGAATTAAAGAGTCAAGAGAGCCAGGTCTTAACCACTGTCTTCATTATTTTGGGGATTCTCATTACATTCTTTAAATTCATTCCCCCAGAAGACAGGCTGGGAAATGGTACCTGAATCTTACTAGGAAGCCATAAAAGCAGGGGCACAAGCAGGACCAGGAAACGTTCTTCTCAGCTTCCCTACAAGCCACTGTTTTGGACAAAATGTTTTGGACCTTTCCTCAGCCACCTGCTGACAAAGGTATCAGTAGAGAAGTCTGGGGCATAGTGCAAGAATTCTCTGTTCTGCTGTTACAATAAAGGACCTTTCTGAAGAAAAAAAGCAACACAAACCTAAGACTGTGGTCAGGTTACATGCTTCCCTACAGTGGTGTCCAGTCACAGCTACAAGCACATGTCACAACGCCAGCAATTACATTCCCCTCTTCCACCTACTGATGCTGCTTTTCACAGCAATGAAGTCTTCAGCATAACTCATTCTAGGACCAATGTTTATTCAAACCTTTGAGGTTCCAGTAGCATACTTAAGTGAAGAAAGAAGAAAAAAAAAAAAAACAAAAAAAAAAAAAAAACAAAAAAAAAAAAACAAGCAGCCATCCCTGCCTCCTCATCCAGAGCCACCAGAGAGCCTTTCAGCCCTTCACAGGTCTCCAAACTCTCTCATGCAATGCTACAAGGCAGGTGGTGAGAAAGTATGGCCTTACACCGGTAACAAGAGCAAGGTGTGCTATAGAACCTTGACCTACAATCTGGAGGTACAAGCATCTCTCATCCTCATCACTGTCTAGGGATTACTCCTGTGCAGCTTTTTTGCCATGTTTAATTACTGCTTTCAGCTCCAATGGCCAATTGGGCAATTAGTTTGGCATCAAAGAGGCCTTGTTTGTATGACAAGAATGAGTCAGACCATTAATACTGTTAGTCTTCCAAAAAGTCTTTTCTTAAACAACAGTAGATAGTGCTAGAGGTGCTGACCCTAAAGGTTAGCCAAAAGTTTACAAGAGTAATAAACCTGAAGAGGTGAGGCTTTCACAGTGATTGGTAACAATAAATTATGCACTGTTTCACAATAGCATTGTAATGCTATTGTACAGCAGATTTATGTGCTACAGCGAGATGCCAAAAAAACCAAGTATTAACAGACAGGTAGGTAGATATGCAAAGTTAGAAATACAGGACAAGGTTTTTTTAAACTACAAGACAACACTGTTGAATAACTCATCTGATATAAATACAGTAAATACCTTACCCACCCTCCAGAGTTCAGCTTTAAGAAGGAAGGGAACCCTCATGTAAACTCACAGGTTTCTAAGTAAAGGAACGTTATTTGGGTGCCACTGCGTAGAGATATTTTATCTTGACAGAATAAACAGGTCTTAATTTAAGAAGAAACAACTTTAGCCAATTTTAACCATTTGCCTATGGAAAGTTGCATCTCATTTGCCCATTGCTTCTGATGATACAACTGCTGAAGGCTATGTTTGTCCAAGCAGAAAAGCTTTCTACAATACTTGTTAACATTTTCTAGTAGTGAAGATACAGCATTTCTTGCAAGATTAAGACACCTAGAGCAATAAAGAATGACAGGCCTAAGTTAAGTGTGCAGTAAGAGGTTGCAACTATTTTAGAGAAACCACCTTTTCTCTTGTGCAGTCTGCAAGTAGAACTTTTGAGTAGACATTTTGAAAAAAGTGGCCTAGAAAGGCTTCCTTATCTCAGAGGAAAATATTCTCTCCAGTATATAGTGCCATCTAAGTAGGCCATAGGAACGTTAATCTTTTTGGACAAGTGGATCAAGTATATTCCTAGTAAAGTTCATGAACACTTTTTGCCTTAGGTAACTACAAGTGCCCAAAACAGATGTCAACATCATCTAGAAGCTGATGCTAATGAGAATGAGCTACTTAACAGAAATCAACATTCCAGTTGTGAGTGCAGTGGACTTTTCAGATCACTTGTCCTATTAGCGTAATTAGATTGCATTAATGATTGAACTACAACACACAATAAAAAAGTCTCTAGCATATTTTTTTTGGTAGGCTGTAGCATTCTTACACTACTTAAGTTTTAGCAGCAGCTACACAGTGTTCTGTACCAACAACTGCATGGAAGCTTGTTTACAGTCAAGGCTCAAGACTGTGATTTAAGTAAATGGCTGATAGAAGTAGTATGGTAAACACTTAACAGAACAAGCTCAAAGCACTTCAGAAAACGATAGACACAAAATATGAGATGATTAACAATGAATCATAAGGCACATTCCCCTTCAGGGAAGGTAACTCAAACCAGATGGGTGTCAGATTACTTTATATGAACTAACTTTCAAGTTAATGAAAGAAACTGGCCTTGCAAGTTTACAAACAATTCTATTTAAGAGTCAGAGACAAAAAACTAAGCTAACATGTTAAAAGTGTTGAATAGTTTCATATACTGAAGTACTAACAGTTATGCTAAGAGAAGTCACACCTTCAACACATTCACAAAGTACTGAAAGACACTAGGTTCTTGTCCTTACGATAAGGAAATACAATGCAAGGCATAGATGTCCAGAACATGCTCTAAAAAAACTCCCCAAAGAAAAAAATACTACTAAAGAACATTGCTTTGTACCTTCGTTGTAACCCTGTAAGTGATATATGTCTCCATCGTGCACACGTGTTTTTTGGGATCATCAACAGTAACAAAGAGGTCTCTAGTTTCGCCATCCAAGTCATCATCCAGCTGCAGTCTATTGAGGAGGGAGGAGGAGGAGGCTGGGCTAGAAGTGTCCACAGGTGTTCCATTGGGTAGACTGAGATCCTGTATCGGAAAGAAAAAAACAGTAAGTCTTTAATAAGTGAACAGATTCACTGTGAAGTACAGTATTCTCAAAGATACCACTAACAAACTTCACTGGCATATAACAAGGGCTATTTATTTCAGCAGTTCCAAGGATCACCCTTTTCTAGAACACCTGAGCAATCCTCTAAGGACTGGGGTCTGGGCATAAGGTTGTTCTACTGTTTCACAATTTGAAGAGAAAGCACATTACCACCATACCTCCCCCTCAGTATGGCACAATGTGGTTTCTGTTCATGAGTAGAAGTACTGCTGAACCAACAGTTCCTGGTGAGACTGAACCAACTTTAAGAATCTGAAAACAAGAGTCAGGCAAATTAGGAGGCCTACTTATAAGACAGGCTTCAGGCAAAGTGGCACCAGTTCAGTTGACGGGAATGAAGTCAGACTTTGCCTCTGGAGACTCCTATAGTAGAGGAAGAAGGGAAAACTTGTATTAGAGGTTTCCCATCCAGTCTATTAACTTCCAAACACATTGCCAGCACTCAGAGACTGAACTACCATCACTGCACTACAGGACAGTCACAGATGACACATTCCAGCATCAGCATCTATGCATCTCTCTCTTCTGGAGTTCTAAGGCTAATGAAAACACTGTTTTGTTTGGAGGTGTCCTCATTTCCATCCTCCCAACTCCAGGAGTATCATCCAGCACTTAAGACAGAGGCTAAAAGAATCAGCAAGTGGCTATTTTAGGCAGAGACGCACAAGGGTTTGGGAAGTCTAATTCCTTGAAAATGACTCAGCAGCAGTGGAAACAAAACAAAATTTCATAGCCAATTTGGAATATTCCCACACCTTTGAGTCTCACACTTTTGATAAAGATCAAGTACTCCAGCTAGTGGTTACTCCACTTTGAATAAATATCACAGCAGCTTCACATGTTCTCTGCTCTAGTTTTGTAGCAGAGGGAACTGACAGCATGTGACAAGTCACACAGTACTTAGAAAGTCCAAAAAATCCATGGCTCTTCAGAAAAGAGAGAAGGGTTTTCTGTTTGTTTTAACTAGTAGCACAAGAACAGATTTACCCAGAGAGTGTTTCCCTTGTAAGGACAAAGGTTCCTCTAGTTGCGAGTCAGAGAAACATCATTACATCTAAGCAGCACATTAACTAGAAGTGTTTTCAGTATTAGAATTACTGCTTAGCCCCAGCTTCACACAGCCTTTGTGGCTAAATAAAACATGTAATCTTAGCAAAGCAATCCTATTTGGGTCAGATCCCCTTTATGCATCAGTATTCCTTATGCAATTGTGGTTTGTGTTCCAGCTGGACAAGGGAAGTCCCTGTCTTCAAAAGAAGTCCTCCTTTGTTCAAGGGTTCAGAATTACAGGTGAGAGCTTCAAGTTAAAGCTACTTACAAAGGTCTGCCTTTGACAATGGCTAAAAACAGGGCTAAGTTCCTACCAGTCTTTGTCACAAACCCATCATGGGAGTACCGAGATTTTACAGAGAGCCTTCTGCCTGTTGCAGTTCTGCAGAATTCTGGTAGTATTGCTCTTCACCTTGAGGACTGCCTTATGAAGTAGAGAGAATAATGCTTTAGCCTATACATTTTGAGAAAAGGGTGATCCAAACTATTGCTGAATAACAGAGAGGTTAGATGCATTCTCCCAACTAATGCTCTGAATTGGTTGTCAACAGATGAAAGACTTCAGATTTAACTAGCAAGTGAGCAAGAACTGGAAGGCAGGCACTCCAATGGTCTCTTAAGAAGAGGGCAAAAGAGCAGCATGAGCATGGCACAGCTTACAGCTCATATATGAGGTAGACAGCTTGAACTACATCTGGCTTATACTCATAAGACCATGTACAACAGGAAGAAGCAATGCTACAGTAACTCAGATAAGGAGTTCTGTTGGGAGTTACACAGACAGAATAAGCAGAAGACAGGATAAGACTAGCAACAGGAGATGGCTTCAGAAAATCTTTAGTTCAGCTAGACAGAAGAATTTGGCTGAGTGGAGTAAAGAGCAAAGCAAACCCTGGGACACTACAGTAGCTATAGACCAATCTGTTTCTGTTTCCAAAAGGAAGAGACAGCTCTTCATTGCCCATGTGCAAGAAGCATTAGTATAAGGGAAGTTGTGCCAGAACTGCTGCCAGTCAAATTCTAAGCTTCCAGCATGGAAATAAATTAGCTTGTGGAAACAGCTTAAGCCTGGTTGCACAGGAGATCTCGAAAGCTTGTAATAAAGCCCTTCCAAAAGAAAGCTTAAAGAATATGATGGGATCTGCTTAAAATATGAAAACTCTGTATCAAGGTGTCAGAACAACTGGAGGAAGGACCAAAGATGGAGCTTGCAGCCACTTTCATGAAGCTAGCAACTTTCCTCACCAGTTCTTTTGGGAGATAACATCATACTAGCATGCCTTGCACTTTTTAAGCAGGGAAGAGGTTTGCAAAGGCTGGAACCCACTTCAGTCTACTTGAGTGTGTTCCTGTAGTCATAGGTCCTGTGGAATGTCTCAGGTCATAAAATAAAGGCTGTGATAGTTTTACCTGATCTCAGCCTTGAATGAAATACCCCGATCTAGATCAAGTAAAGCTTCTAGACCAAATCTGGTTAGGAACGGGAAGGCTGATAGCTGTGGTAGTGGGTAAAGAACAGAAGATGTGTACACTGAAAGTACTACTTCGCTGTACTGCCTCATCTGCAACAGCAAAACTCTCCCCAGCAGTCATTGCTGGCATCATGCCCTGCTACTTGGCTAGTTTTCAGTAGTTGAAGGCCAGTTTAGAAGCTAACCATTTGTACTTCTTAATGGGTGGAGCCTCCTAGCTAACTGCACAACCAACAGCACTTAGGACTGTGGAACCTTCGTTTAACAGTAGGCAGGATCAGTGTGCTGAAGTCTTATGCTATTGCTAGAAAGAGGTAGGCTTTGAAGTGTCACAGCAGATGGCCTAGCAATCTAAGTCATCTCAGGCTGTAATCCTTTCAGCAGAGCACCTCCTCATCATGTTAATCGGCACTGGCTTTCTTCCGTGGGACTTGGAATTTTTTGCAGTTGGGGAAGCAAGACTGCAACATCTGTTCTAGTCTGCTTTTACCATAGAAGGAAGACTGTGCCCTGCAGAGCCTAGCAGGAAAGGAGATCTGCAGCCATCTGCATTTCTATTTGTCAAAGTAGTTATCAAACCACAAGCTTCTGAAATACTGACTAGTATTAATTGTTTTATATAACAGTGACTTCAGTGCCAAGGATTCATGCATCAGCTTCACCTTTAGTGCACCAAGTAGCTGCTCATCTGCTGTTTTAACTACCTACCTGCATTATCAAACATCAGCACAGTCCAAGTCCCAGCAGGTACCTACTGCTCAAAGCTCTTCATGGAAAAAACCCCTTTTTGTCATAACACCTGTTATTCACAGTACAGTCACACTGCCATGAATCTGAGCAGCCCTACAGGGTGGGCAGAGGGGAGGCTGCTTCTGGCAGCCAGGCAGATAGAATGGAGGACAGGTTCTGTCAAGACATTCTTCAAGCCTTAGAGAGCATCCACGAAGGCCTCCCTCAAGTTTCAGAGTTATTTCTAAAGTAAAGAGCAAAGATCCTTAGCCTCTGTCCCTCACATCCTCAGGCCAGTGTCAGAGCTTTGCCACCTGCTGAAGCAAGTCAGGTGAAGGTCTAGCAAGGCCTGAATCACAACCCACAGCAGAAATAGCATGACATTCAGACCTTCAAGTTCATGATTTACTGGTTAAGTGCTAGGTTTTTGTGCACAGCTGTACAACCGCTGATTCTTCACACATTCCTACAGAGTTTGCAGGATCCCTCAAGACACCCAAATTTACAGGTACATAAGATCAGATGATTCTAGCAGCCCAAGTTTGGTATCCTACAGTACAGGGCAACTAGGAACTAACTGCCTGTGTTCAAAATGCATGAGCCCTCCCAACTATACAGGCTGCTATCTGGTAACAAAACAGCTTCACATTCTTTTGTTGTATTATATAGTCCAAACACCTTAACTAGTTAGCCTGCCCAGAAACAGATACTAAACGTATCAAGAAGTTAACATTGTCCAAGTATAAAAATCAGCTGAATTTTATAAACTTCAAGTCTGCATGTGACATGCAAATAATGAGTTGGGAAGCTTCCAGCTGATGTCATCTTCTCCCTCCTTCACCCTCCCAGAAGATTTTCCAAGATTCTAGATCTACAAAGCAGCTTGGATCCACATGAAGTGAAACCTCAGGAGCTTGGTATTTGGCCTTCTGGTTGACAGCCTACCCCAATGGAGTAGTACACACCAGAGAAAGCATCCAGGAATCAATCCTTGAAGGCTAAACAAAAGGTCTAGAATTCTGTAGGTATTGGTCTATTGTCAAATGAAGATCACAGTCTCCTAAGTTAAGTGCAGCTAGTCAATACTGCAGCTTCTACAAACTATGTTAGCTTTCAACTATCCTTTCTCAGTAAGTGTACAGCTCAACCAGACAGCAAAGCTCTCTAAGCTGTAGTCTATAAAGGAATTGGAAGAAGTGGTTCAACAAGGTCTTCCAAGCACAGATAAACTCATCTCTGGACAGGTTAGCCTGAAACCACCTGATGTTGCAAGCACATGCTCTTATTCAACAGCAGAAGTCACTGAGAAGTGTTGCTGTTTAGAGGCAAGCAGTGCACTTAGTCCCTCATGTCCTTATCTAACTCCAGAACCTTACAGCCAGGACTATTCTACTCTTAGAGCCTCACTGCTTCACTTCTGCAATTCAGTGCTACACCCTTCTTCTGTTTCAAGGCATTCTCTTGCTTTTTGCCATCCATTTCCCAGAGACACACATCCACAGATACAGTCATGTAATGGGGACAACAATCCCACACAACAATTCCAGTGGGTTTCTGGAATAGTCTTATTTCTGTACCTTCAGTACACAACAATAAGCCATAGTAGAATTGTTCCTGGTGACTGGAAAACTAAAATGCCTTAGATGTGAATATTCCCAAGAACACTA